GCTTTTTTTTTAAATAATCGATCTTTGATAAAATAAAACTGTTTATGCATTCTTTTAACTCACGTTGCTTCTTATCGATCAAAAAAACTTAATATTTTTCATTTTACAGTAGGGAAAGGGAGAGTAAAATAAAACGTGGGGCAAAGTGAAACGCTCGAGAAAATGTGATAATTTATTAAAATATGTTTAAAAACACTTATTGCATTTTTTGTTTATCAGTTTTTCAATTTATTAATGTATTAAAAATTATCAACATTTGTTAATGTAATAGATAATTTGTTAATTTACATTTTTTCATGGTGCTCCATTTTACCCTACTTTCCCCTAAATTTGTAATAGAAAAAATTCTTCCGAGTTGTCATCCTATCATGAAATATTTCAAATTCTTTTCGTGAGTTAAAGTTTCGCAAATTTATGAAAACTGTTCTTTAAACGGAATAAATTTATCTATTTCCTATAACTTCTTGTTATTTAAGAAAAAAAAAGTTTTTATGAAGTTGTTTTATCTGCATTGATTCATGTTATAATTAATTTAAAGAAAGAACATGTGATATTAAATTTATGCGAATGAAAATATTGGCAATTTCCAGTTGTACGGTAAAGTAAATTTCCCTATCACTGCATAGCGTCTCTCTTTTATCGGTACAGTAAATTTTCCGATAGATACGTAATAAAGATTATCATTGGATACTCCCCAGGTACATTTCGTGGTCGTTAAAATCTTGTTGATAACCAATGTTACATACATCCGAATTTTAACGAAAAATAAATAGATAAAAAAAATTGAATTAAAAAAAAAAAACAAAATAAAGAGAAAAAATCTAATAACATTGTTTTTACTTAATTTTCTTGAATCCCATTCAATCTTTCCTTCTTTAAAACTGGTCAGATTTAATCCAGACAAAGACAAATCGAAAAAGAAGCTGAAAATTGTTATCTGTTCCGATGTTTCAAGATATCATTGATGAAAATTTGTTGACCCACAATGAAATCGTGTTTGTGGATCTCTTGATAACAGTTTCACTGATTTAACTTAATCGAAATTCAATCGATATATTATGAGGTCACTTAGAGTTTATAGAATTTTGAGCAACATCAATTGAATTACTCCCGAGTTATTTGGAAAATCCAGACCAATATTAAAAAACTAGACTGGTTTGTCTGGTCATCGTGGGTTAGGATTCTAACAATTTTCCCAATATGGAACAAATTTACCGGTCATTGAAGCAATGCCTGAGGTATTCTACCCTCATTTGATATGTCTACAGTATTATGTAATGACTCAATTGTAATTCATTTAATTAAATATCATTAATTGCAATACAAATAGAAGTAAGCTTAATTGGAATTAGTCTTCAAATTAACAATAAATATATGATCATTTGAACTTTAAGTAATGCAAATTGATTGTATTTAATTAACATGGATCAAAATTTTTAATGAATTAAAAAACGAAACTTGCGTAATTAATGCTCTAAGTCACATAAAAAATATATTTTATAATTTATTTTAATTAAAAACTTTATTAATATCGATTATTGTATCACATTGGCCATTTCTCGCATGTATCGTGCGCTCTCTCACTAAATTAAATTCAAAAACTTGGTTATGATCCTAAACCAATCGAATTAGTAATAAAAAATTCTATAATTTAAATCATTTATCCAAAATTCTATAATTTTCTGGCCTTAAATATTTTTAATATTGGCAACATTTATTTGTGGTAATGCTTTATTAGATTAAAGAGTTACTTCATTGTTTTTTTGAATCAAAAAATAATTAACACATTTATTTATTGGGTTTTTAATTAAAGATTTTATATACTAAACAACAATAATATTGAACACATTTTTCTATCAATTTTCTATAGCTTCGAGTATGATGTTCGAATGAATACAATTGAGATCTACAGATTCCTTACAAAGATTACATTCACATGACGTAAATTTACTTTTCATTCATCATTTTACTTTCACTATCGCTGTGTTCTAAAAGCCTTCAGTCTCAACCTCACAGAATTAAATGTTTCCTCTCATCTAACATTGATTTAAAATGTATGCTGATGAAAATGCATTATCACTATTGTTTTCCCAACGTCAAATCTAAACTGAAAGTTTATTTTTATTTCTTCCATACACTGTCCTATTTACTGTTTCTCTATAGGTCCATTTACTTTTTCCACAGTCGATACCATAAAATTTAAATATTTTCAACAAATTTTTTCTTTCCGGTAAATAAACAGTCCATTGGTATTCCCGATAGATGCGAAAAACGTTCGTCCTAGATTCTAGAATGGACTCATCATCCCAAAGGGACTGATTCCATTTCTGGAAATCGGAAATCTTTACCAGAGTATACTCAAGTCACATGTTAGAGACAAAGGAGACAGAACAAATGGTTGCGTAGTACGGATATACTTAGGAGGTTTGAAATTCGAACAAAGTGTATGTATAAAGCAAGATGTGCTACTACTAGTTCTGTACCATACAATGTGCAAAAAGAATAAAAGCAAAATCGGGGTTAAGTGGCTCAGCTGAAGCTAAAAGAAGTAAACAGTCAATATGATCAGTTTGTTTTACTGTCAATTTCATGTCAAATTTTTTAAATTCTCTGTAGAAAGTCTATTTACTTTTTCTAAGATATTTTAATACGACAGGAGTGTTTTAAGTGCCTTGACATATACAACTGTACTCCTTGCTTAATTTCCTATTCACCTTTACTTAAAATACCTCTCGAAGACGGTCAGAATGAACGGAAATGGTTTACGGAAATTCAACGTCACTGATTAAGTAGTCGAACATTATAATAACAATCTCTACGTGTCTAAAATTAGAAGTAGATGACGATAATTACATTTGTTTGGAGCTTTCAAAAGAAACTCATTAATATTTATATTTCATTTGTGGTGAAACTTTAATTTTTCTCCCTTTTATGCAGTTTATTTATATTTCCAATTTCATAATATTTAATTTATTTATTTATTTATGCATGAGTGAATGATTTTTATTTGATAACATCAGATGACGATGGTTATCGTAGGGAAGGAAGGAAAATATATAGAAAATAGTAAAATGATGAATATTATATTAATTCATTCAAGCATTATTTCGATTTAATTATCTGCACGTTCAATCATTCATTTAAAGATAATCTTAATGGAATCAAGTTACGTATACTTTTCTGATATTTTCTATTTTTATTCGTTTATTTAATTTTTCACGTATAAAGTTAATTCCTCAAACTTGGAGGAAGTACGATATTAATTTATCAGTACACAAAAAAATAATAATTAATATTCTTTTAGTTAAAAAAAAACATTTAACCGTTTTTAGCTTACATTTTCGTGTACTTTTAAATATTTCTCTTTTTTTTTTGTCCTAAAGAAATCAATAAAAATTTTGCGCAAGCTTAATGTAAATTACACATTTCGTTATTTTATTTTTTAGTTGATTATTGAAAAAAAAAAATTGTTTGTTAAAAATTTTTTAATTACATCCTATTATTTCTAATTTTTTTTAACGTGGAATACATTTTAGCAATTATTTATAATTAAAAAAATAATCTCTAAATTTAAAAAAAACTGAATTAACAAAAAGAATAATTAATATTTAAAATATAAATATAAAAAAAAATTTTAAGCGTGAATTTTCAGTGGTTTTATTTTTTCTTTTATAAAATATTCAAACTAAAATATTTCTACGATAGTGAAAAAATGATAATTTTTTATTTTAATCCAAATAATGCTGTTATAAAATAATATATTACTCAGCAGCCATTTGAAAATTAAAAAACTAATATCCTAATGCTTATCCAACTTAGAATAGTCAATTTCTTAACTTTAAGAAAAAAAAAAAAACTAAACCAGTTTTAATATTGTTGAAAATATCATTACTATAAAATTACAATTCAATCAGACTCTTTTTTACACAACTGTTCGTTTAATTAAAATCATAAAATGCAACATTTCCACAATTGCAACCTTTATAATTCCGTGCTTTTTGTATATTTGCGTGTTTATTTCATATTACATCACTTCAAAGAGTCATTACAACCACTTAATAACATGATATTAATTATTCCAAGTATTTCAAATATTTCCATAATAACTTAATTAAAATACCAAAAATACTCTTTTACCAGGAACAAAAAAATTTAAGTCAATTTCTCTCTTGAATGTATCGTAATAATATTTATCACATCAATATTCCACCTTCGTGAATGTTTTATCAACGATCCTCCTGCAATTCAGTTACGCAAAACAGTCACTCGAGTCTTACAACCCCTCATACTAATCACGGTAATAATTAAAACGTCGCGACGGTATTTATATTCAAGCTTAAAGAACTTTTCATTTTATTTCCTCTCCCTACGTGTTAGTGAAAAGTTTTTCATCTCTATTTTATTTTTTATTCCACCGTGAGTTTGCGTGGAGCCTGGCAATTAATTATCGTTGTGACAACAACAGCAATGACATAATTGTCGTGTTAGTGAACGATACTGATGCCAGTAAAAGCCTCACTCCTCTCTCTTCATGCCTCGCGTATTCAACTGCGTTGCTGATAACCGAGGAAAAAGAGGGAAATTTACCTCGAGGTATACAGAGAGAGAACTCTAACGTGCGAACGACCTTATCAGCTCTAGATATCCGCCTGCTAGCACGTCTATCGGATGAATAATGGTCCGATGATATCGACGGTGTGAACTAACAATCAGTAGAAAAGGTTGGGTTGCGTATGGAGTAAAGGTGAAAAGTTAGATTAAAGATTATAAATAAGAAGTATGGGTTCGAATAAATCATTATAACTCTCCTAGCATCAATTTCCCTTTACTTTAACTGTTAACCAACTACCTTCAATCTATATCGTCACGCCATTGTAATCCAAATTTACGCGCGTGTTTCACTGAGAGCAAGCGCTCTTACACACATTTCTTCAACGTACACAGCGCGCTGGCTATTGCTCTTTTTATTTTTCAACGCATCGTCAGTCGCGTGTCGCGCGTCTAACGACTAACGCGTTCGTGTATACAATGAGTTGATACTTTCGCTTGAGTTAACTCTCTGTCTCAAATAATCGTGAGTTTAATTGAATAATAATACAACATCCCCTTTCATCATCATCATCATCATCATCATCCTACAAGTGAAGCATTCAACTAAAAAAAAGAAATAAAAACAAGAAAAAAAAATTTTTTTTAAATCGTCTGGTTGAGAATGAAATTAAAATGAAAAATATCTTTATATTCATACTCCAATTTACATAATATTAAGCAAATGACCTAGGCATTGGGTTATTTATATCAGGATCACAAGTGAAGAATTTCAAGTCCGTAGCAAAAGTGTGTATGTGAACTAGTGTATTAATCATGAAAGTAAATGAAATCTTTATTATCTTTCAAGTCGAAAAAATATTTGCGTGTTGGTGTTTAATAATAGTCTTAAATGTCACGCAAAGGAAGGAATTAAAACCGATTTGCGGTTTGGCGATATATAGCGAAAGTTGGTGAGAAGGATGACAGAAGGGATTGCCGAATAGTAGTAGTCTAGTAGTCGTATCTATTATCTGGTGCATAACCTCAGGGTGACTGCGGCATGGGCGGGTGATCTTCATGTTGTAGATATACGTAACGATAAACGAAAAAGAGAGTCCATCGTGGCGGGAATACGGGTCGAGCGTATAGGTCGATACGGGCTCATGTATATGTGGATATAGCGCGCATCAGTTGTATGCGCCGGCTACGTTGCGAGTATCGTGTGGCGATTAGGTATGTATGTATATATACGTGGTGGTGCCGATGCACCCGGCGTCGGGACGCTGGAATAGTCGAGGGTGGGAGGGGAAAGTGCAACGCGCCATCCGGGCGTCGCAGAAAGTGGTAGTGTCTTAACTGGGTATTACTTGTCTTGTTTTACAACCAGTCCGCTTTGTGTAATATGCTCGGAGAATTTCAAATGGATCTTGGGACAAGAGTTTTTTAATATTACGAAAATCTTTTCTTTCAAGTTTCCCAGTAGCTGAAAACTATCGGAAATATTATATATTGCAAAACCCTAGGATTTCGTGGTCTAGTTTGAACCAAGAGAAAATCGCTAATGCAACTCGGAAAGTTTGATATAGATTATGTTCACTGATATAGTATTTGTGTAGGTTGTACATTGTTATTTAAAAGTTAAGAGTCTTTATCTTTTATGTATCTATGCTTTATCAATATTTGCAGTTGTATTGAGAGAAGAGGAGGCAAGAGAATGAAAATAGATTAATGTTTGCTCAATTTATTGTAGATCAAAAATAATAATCAGGTAAAAATAAAGTTTATCCAAAAATGAACAATAGATAAACAAAAAAGATTATTAAAATTATTTGTATAATTAAAGTTATTTAGTTAATTTCTTGGTTTATCAGATTATTGGTTTTAATTTGCAAAGAGTTTAAAAAATTAGCCTATGCTTGACCTACAATTAATTCTAAGTACCTGAAAGAAAAATTTTTAACGATCGTATGCAATATTTTATTCTAATATTTTTCATGATAAAAATTATAATATAAAGTCAAAAGCTCGCTATTTTTACGTTTTATTTAATTACTTTTTTCGAACAAAACAACTTTTTTACAGTCAAAAACCGGTATTTGTTTAAAAGAAACCTTGCAAAAGACATTATTTAAATAAACTCATTTTTTTTTAACTAAAAAAAAAAAAATAAACATCATGATTGAATTTTAAAACAAATGAAATCTTTTTTCTTGTGAGTAAAAAATTTTGATAAATATTTGATTAATCTGAGCTTAAGATAGCTAATTAAAATAATCAGTATTATTAATTCAGAGCTTTTAAGAGCAATTTAAAAATCATGGTCTCAGTTTTTCTAGCGAATAAACAAGGAATTTTCCCCCTCGACTATGGAAGACTATAGATAAATAATGTTACTATTATCAAATTCGTATGTTTGTTTCTCAGTGGCTATAAAACACTATCATGATTTCTACTATTCAGATGTCAATTAAATTATCGTGGTCCAGTGCATGACACAGAAAAAACGAAATTTCAAAACAAATGTAGCCAGTGGCATTTTAAAAATCTGTAAGTCAAAATGAAAAAAGCTTGTGTTTTTGTTGAAAAATAGATAAAATCAAATTAAAGGTTTCATAAAATTTGTTTAACCTTAATGTAGTTGTTAATGATTTTTAACTTTTTATAATTAATCACTTTCAAGCGTTTATAAATCATAAGGAAGGTCATATTTTTATCTAAAATCAAAAAAATAACTTTATAAAATTTATAGCCATTAAAAATATCAGTAAATTAAAGAAAAAAAATTCCAAGTACATATTTTAATCTCTAAAAAAAAAAAAAAAGGGTTAGAAAGTTACTTGTAACTTTTTAGTATCAAACTCAAGGTATTTATAAATTACGAAACTCTTATTTCGTCATTTAAAATTAATAAACTTGCATAAAAAAAGTGATTTATGTTAATAGAAAAATCGAAAATTGGTGGCATGTATTTTAGTCTGGTTGATAAAGCTAGAAATCCTGCCTTAAGACTTCTTACTACGCTATCAACGCGTTGATAAATGTTTTAAAGTTTTCGGCTCAGTATTTCGTACCGTAGAAAAGCCGAAAATGTTGCTTTAAAGCCCTTACCTCACAGATATAGGTGTGAAGAGTTGATAAATAGTATGAGGAGGAATAGAAATTTATATTCGTGTCTCCCTGAAAGCCAGAAAGAAGATTGGGTCGTCAAGTCATTGAACTTGAACAAGGTTCTACTACTCGATATAAGAACACATTATAGGATGAGTTGGGTGGCAACATCTTCTCTTCAAGATTTTAATTCTTAACTTTGTTTCAAAAATTTATTATGAATACTACGGCAACACTCTTTTGACATTTTAATAACTTTTAATTTTAATATTTAACTCTCAGAAACAAAAATTTAAAAAATTAAACTTTTACTTTTCTTTCTTTTAAATAAAATTTAATAATTTATGTAAATATTTTTTTTTAATTTATTTCAACATTGACATGAATACTTTTTCCAATACTAATTAATTATAAATTTACAAAAATTAAAAATCTTTAAAATTATTTATTTATCTTGTATTATTTACAAATAAATATTTAACTATTTCACAAAAAATAATAAATAAATATTAATAAAAAAAATTAATTTAAATTATTTTCCATAAAGTACATTTACTAGTCCAATAAAAAGAATATATATAAAGAAAAAACAAACATTGCAACCAACTGCGTACTTTATGACTTCGTTTACTGCAACCAAATCTCCAAGTTAAGAAATAAAAATTTTATAGGTGAAAATGTTGGCACCCCAAGGATAAGTAAAAAGTTTTCCTGTTATATCGCAAAAATAAGTATCTCCTACTAAAGTATACGGGGATTTAGTTAATACTATACAGCACAGAATTACAGAGTTAGACGAATGAAAGAATGGGTGGTAAAGTGCTGTCTTGAGTCGACAAGCGTGTTCCAGTGATGAACGATAGGTATAGGTGTGTGAGTGATATAGTAGTAGAAGACGAAGAAGCGCGAGGGTGGTATAGAATCGGGGTTGGCGCTCAGTAGGGGTCGGGAGCCCGAGCGACGAGGTGTCTCTTATTCGGGCCACGCTCCAGTTACTCTGTTGTCATCGAGCCTAACGAGATGGTACTTAATCAAGTATTGAGCCATCAGCAAAGAATCTAGTGACGAAATAAATTCCATCCATCAAAATAATATAAACATCCTTGTTCATTTATTAATCAAATCAAACAAATTTCTGCTGACAGATTTCCCAGTCCAACATCACAAAAACTGATGTAAAAAAAAAAACTACTTAAGACAAAAAATAAAAGACTAGAATTCTGATACATCATCAGCACAGTTTAGTTGTGAGATACTGCATAAAAGTTCACGTTCTACAACAGTTTAAATTCCCGGGTAATCCGAGAATTACAACGTCGACTTTTAGTACAAGCTTTATTCTCCACTGCTTAGATGAACCCTCTCGAAAACGATGAACATAAAAGTCGAGTGAAAATTTAAAGTGAAATGAAATAGTGAAGAAAATAAAAATCATCAGACATTTATCATAAATAACCAAACAGTTTGTGCTAAAGAGAATGATTGTAGAGTTACGAGGAATTTATCTCAAGGAAAATATTCATTGTACCAGATAGAGAAGTGTATTCGGCCTACTTGTAATAAAATTCGATTGAGCAAACGAGCGATCTTTACATTAAGCTAATTGATCTCGCAGGGTCAATAGCGCAGGGAAGATGATGAACCTATAATTCAACAACGTGTGAGGACAACGATATAAATGTTAATATGTAAATGTAGACAATGATATTCAACGAACTAGCAGAGCGAAACAGAGCGGAAGAGAAGTAAATGAGAACTAGCATGTGAAGGATAGTACGTCGATTCATATAAACTATAGAATTGTTTGAATTAAGTAAAAACAGTGCACTTCATACTGATATCAAACTCCAAGGACAACGTACGATAAGAGTATATTTATTTACTTATATTTACAAAGCTTGTATAACAAAAATCCTTAGATAAATTATTACCTGCCATATATTTAAACTTTAAATTATTAATGACACTGTCAATGTGCGACCTGAATATGTTCTATTCATTCAAACACTTGATAATTTATGTCAAAACTTTGTATTATAAAAGTGTCGATAACAATCAATTTATTAAAGGTCTTAAGTAATACACCCGCAAGTATTATTTATTACACTAAACTACAAGAGAGAAGACAAGTTGGAGAATTGAGTTAGACACAAGTTATGCTCGGTTTAGACATGAAACTAGTCACACGTCTTAGAGGTTTGTCTTTGAGTTCATCCTCAAACACACCAACGTCAGCAGGAGGTTCAAATAATTCAGCAAACATCACTTCAACCTCATCATCAGCATCAGCTGTCAACAATTCTCTACTATTGCCTAATGACAAACATCGTCGAAGATCAAGTCGAGAAAGTGGTGGTAATGTTAGTCCACCCACTAGTGATCGAGAAAGTGATGAAGAGATTTCTGCACCACCAAGAATAGTCAGGGATCGATCAAGATCAGTTTGCGTGCCTGTTCTCACATCATCACAGCTTAGACACCTTCATCGTCGTGCCAGTCATCATGTGTAGGTGTTTATTCTTAAGCAGCAAAAAAATAAAAATATTATATAGTCATGATATTAATTATAATAATTTTCGTAGAGATAATAATCCTATTTATTGAAATTCGTTATCATGACATGCAGCTTCTAATCTTTAATTAATAACATTAATTGATTTGCGTTTAATCATAAAATACAAATATATGTATATCTGAATTTTAATTCATTAATCAATTTAATTTGACCTTTGTAATTAAAAGTTAATATCATAAATAATTTTTCTCATAATTAAAAAGTTAGAAAGTGATGAGAGAATAAACTTGAGAAAAATCAATATTCTGAATCGCGTTGGTTAAAATTTGCTTTATTTGTTTTACGATGTCGTGTAACACCACGGAAGTACGACCTCAATGGCGTTCTAATTAACCTAGATAAGTTAAGGAGAAAATAAATTACACAATTGAAAACTAATACAAAAGGTATCGTAATTATTGTACTCGAATTTAGATAATTCAAGTATTTTTGTTAACTTATCATTATTATCTATACTACGAAGTATATTCATTTCCTATTAATAAGTTTGCATAACTTGACGTTATTAACACCAAGTGTTTAAACTCTATTTACTTTTATTTCTAATCATTATCACTTGTTACTGGATGTTATTACAGTAATTGATAAATGAGGTAATTCTTTATTTCTAGATCGTCCACAGATACTACATCAAGACGAGGTGTTCTGTCAAGAAGATGTTATGGAAGCGTGGAAATGGTGAATTAACATTGTAAAGTTAATAAAGAAAGTTTAATCAGATTTTAAACTTAATGTTTGATGTCGTTGTTTCCCCCAGTTGCCACAAATCGAGCAAGATGGGACAGAAAACGGTCGGAGATTTCGTGTGGAAAATGGCGATTCGCCAGGAGAAAAAGAAGAGGTAAAGTTTATCTATTATACACTCTACGTGCACGAGAAATCGGGGCAACCCAAGTTATCCGGGGGTAAAATGACTTTTCTACTAAATAATTAGAAAAAAAAGAAATCAATTTTTTATCACAAACAACGTTCAATCGTTCGTTTTATCTTAACTGTTCAGTTTAAGAATTCATCTTGAAGTGAATATCATCAAAGGTTAAATTATTTCCATCAAGCTTGATGAAAGTGCTCTGACTTGATGTTCATGAAAACTTTGAACTTTATTTTTTCATCAACTTAATGGAGATGTTTAATAAACCATTTTCATTCATTTTATATTCAAGAAATTTTCATAATTTTAATTAATAAATTTTTTCTACTTTCATATTGTATTCATTCTATTGAATCAAATTTTGTTATCAGTTTTCTGCTTACTTCCTGAACTGAATATTAAATTGAAAAGATTGAAAGTTCTGTTAAAAAATCAATGAAATCACAATAGTATCAGAGAATAGAACGTTTACGGTGAATTATAAAGCTTTATGAAATGTTCCAGATGTTCGGTTCTCCTAGCACACCTGTATTAGAAAATCCTGAATACCAGACACGTTGGTACTTTAAATATTTTCTAGGAAAGCGTAAGTAATTGAACGACAATCATTTTATTCTATTTATGAGTATTATCTTTTGATATCTTGTATGTGTTATGTATGTACAGTTCATCAAAATTATGTTGCATCGGATCACGAAAGAAATCCTCTCTTCTTGTCAGTTGTGCTTAGTGATGGAGGAGATCAGTGTGTTCCTCATTATAGGGTTATTCTTTGGAGGCGAACCGTAAGTTTTTAACAAGTAAAATTTATTCCTTCTAGATGCAAACATTCTTATAATTTTTAATTTTTTATAAAGATTTATAAAGTCAAAGATTTGTAGTGAAATATGAATTATTTTTTCATTTTTTACTTTTAATTTAAATAGAAGATTAGACATTTATTTTTATGTGCTTCAATGTTTAATTTTAAATTAATGCATGACGTTACGAGAATTAAGTTTTTTGTAAACAAGCTTTTTTGCAAGTTAATAAAAACATTTGAGAGCTTTTGTAATTTTAATTTACAACAAAATTAATTAATTATAAAATTAATAGTTAAATAAAAAAAGAGAAAAAATTAATTTTTGCAATAACATAAAGAGTATAGTTTAAAAAAAAAAAATACTCTAGAGTTTTGGTCTGATTTTAATTTTTCACTCATCATTTACTCTCTCTAAAAAATGTTTTTCCTAGTTTATGCAAGTACTAAATGTAATGTCGAGTTTCCATTAACCCAAAAAATTTGAAACATGAAATTTCAACAATATTTTTACATCAATGATATCTAATTCTACCTAGAATTGTAATTAAATTTTTTTTACCTGTCGAATGCAATTTGTGATACAAAAATTACTGGATTTCTACTCAGCTACTAAATCGAATTTGCAAACGAAGAAATACTTCACGAATTTTTGCATCAACTTGATACAGAATAATTTGCATCGAGTTACAACCACAAAAAGTTGTAAACGATGATTACATATTCATTAAATGAATATTCAAAAGGAGAAACTTGTCCTCATCGTGCTTCAACGATAATATTTCACACATTTTCTTCATATCATGTGAGGATGTCAACTGAAAGCTAGACAATCAGTTTGAATAATTTAAACGATTTGAAAAATTTCCATGTATTCCTAAATCTTCTTTCTTTTTAAACAATGATAAATAATATAACCTAAATATATTTTTATAATTATTCAGATTCTTATATTCTAAAGAAATATATATTTAACATTGATTTTTATATCTCTTATTTTTCATCTTCAGAAAAATGTTCTCAGCATAAAATCCTCTATAAGAGAAAATTTATTTCAATACGGCATTTGCTATCTTTTTTATTACATTATACGTGAAAGATGACGAAAAAGATAAAATATATCCTCTCAAAAATCTGAAACAACGTTAAAGATGTCAATTTTGTTATTTTAAAGAACAAATATCATTTTATTTATTCAATTTCTTCCATATAAAACTCAATGGAAAGTAAAAAATTGAATTAATCTTTTATTTAAAATTTTCCATTTTCCATTAGATAAATAAAAATATTTTTTAATTATTCAAGCATACAAAATTTTAATTACCTCATTCTCAAGAATTTTCATTCAGTCCAATTACTTTTTATATCATTGTAACTCGGTGCAAATAATTTATTCATCCGACGAATTTTACATTTGAATAATAAATCAAATAATTTATTTTCATGAAATATAGGGGGCACAAAAAATATCTTTACCTTACTCGTCAAATAAATCGATGACCGTGAAGCAGATTTTAAGGTAAGAAACGAAATAAAATAATGATAATAATCATAAAGAAATCTAAAATTTATGCAAAACCATTATTCACACACACAAACACATCTTTTTTTTATCAGCAATTTCTTTGGGATAGAAAAGTTTGATAAAGCTCCGCGAGAAATTTTTTCTCCCGAAATACAAAAGGTAATCTTCTAGTGCTTATTGTAGAAACTGAGGTAGAATTTCAAATGTTATCAAATAAAATTTAACGTATTCAACAGGATCTTTTGTTACTGGAGGAGCAAGAGGGTTCAGTGAATTTTAAATTCGGCGTTATATATGCCCGCGAGGGTCAGACATCTGACGACGAAATGTTGTCGAATGGTATCTATGTCTATATGTATTTAAAAGAAGAAGAATTTATTAAAAGTAAATTCACAGTTTGGAGGTGGAAAAAGGGCTGATCGATCTATTTTTGTGCTTACAGAGAAGACAAGCCCAGAGTTCGAGAGGTTCTTAGAAATTCTAGGAGAGAGGATTCGCCTCAAGGGGTGGGATAAGTACAGAGGCGGTTTGGATGTCAAAGGTGAGGGCGCCTACTTTGCTTTAGAAATATATTCAAACATTTAAAAGGCATATAAATTCGTGACTTTAAAAATTCTTTCATTTCCAGGTGACATGACTGGCAAAGAGAGTATTTATACAGTTTACGCAGGTCATGAAGTTATGTATCATGTGAGCACCTTATTACCTCATTCTAAAGACAATCCTCAGCAATTGGAACGGAAGAGACATATTGGAAACGACATTGTCAATATTATTTACACCGATGACCCTACAGTATTGGATACCTTCAATCCCAATTGCATAAAAAGCCAGTTTACTCGTGAGTTTTAATTGAAATAAAGTCATTATTTTTAGAGATAACAGTATCAATGGAAAATCATTTCCAATGTTATTTAACCTGGAAATTGAAAACAAATAATAACTGGAAGAAACCTAGATTTGAAAAAAAAAAATATATTCAGTGGATCCTAGGATAACCATAAATTCATAGAAATGCCGAAAAAACTGTTACCAAATTTTTTTTACTCGAGCTTAAAAAGCAGTTGGATACATTTTTGCGATGACTGGATTTGCTTTCAGATGTATTTGCCGTAGTGACAACCACCGAGAATGGACAGGGTTGGCGAATCGCAATTTACTGCGATGAAAACGTGCCTCTATTCGGGCCAAGTTTACCCTGCCCTCCAATATTCGAGGACCCCTATAACTTACGGGAATTCCTTCTTGTGAAACTGATCAACGGTGAGAAAGCTACTTTTGATACTCCAACCTTTTCCCGGAAACGAGAGAGAACTTTGGACACTCTACTTCGAGACATGTATCAGGAGCATACCCAAGATAGTAAAGGAAACGTAAGTTCTGTACGTATACAATACTAAAGGTGAATTAACTCGAGTAGTTGACCCTAGTAGAAGTTGTGAGGATTTAATTAAGATACTGACCACGAATAAAAACAACATTCTGGTCAAGATAAATTAAAGCATTGAGTTGGTTTGTATTGAGTAAGACTGCAAAAAAATAACTTCAATGTAAATATTAGTGCTGGTAATAAGCGTAATTTTAATTTTGTTATTAAACTTGGTTATTTAAGTTAAACTTTATTATTTGATTATAGCCTGAACTCCAGCCCTAAGTTTATTATTGAATTTTAATAAAGACCTAATTCTTTAGATAAATAAAATTATCTTTGGGAATTATTTTTGAAAAGTTTCGTATGATAATTTGAAAAGTTTTCAAGACAATGAAATATAATTTCTTTGTAGGTGTAGTTTTAGCTTAGAAGATGCTTCAAGTACTGGTGATGTGTAATTCATCATTTACGTAAATTACTCCACTGCTAGCAATGAAATTTTTCGCTGTGCTAGAAGACTAAATTGTTAAAGTTTACCAATTTATTTTTCTATGTCTCTGAAATGCTAACAAAAATTGCCGGTTAAATTTGAACTTCTTAGAAAGTATTTCAATAGGTTTTAAAAGATAAACATTTGATGAATTTTCAAATAAAATGTAACATTTACAAATAAATTTCTTATCACAGATTTTTATATGGGCCGTCAATGACCCAGATTGCCAGCGAAGGGTTCAATTTCGGAAATGTCAAATAACTGTGATTGCACAAAAAAAAAAAACTCGGATTGCAATCGACTGAAATGTTTTAGAGTATGAACTTTCAGTTTAAATATTTTTTATTTATTTTTTTAATTTTCGCTTCAATGTTCAAAATCAAAGTGAGATAAAAAAGTAATCCCTAAATCTGTGCCAACAATGTCTGTCTTCCTTGACAAGAGAACGTTTTTAAAAAAAGTTGATAAAAATTAATGAATATTGTATTTTGTATATAAAAATTGAAATAAACTAAAAATAATTCCCAAGGTTAACATTAAACATATTTTGTAAAATTCTTTTCTATTTAATACAGATAATCTTTCTCATCGTATTTCACACAAATTTATTACGATTTAAGTACTTCTTTTTATTATCCAACAACCATCGGAATTAGTGGATACGATGAAATATTTTATAAGAATAAATATATCTATAAACATTCAAAATAAAATATAAAAGTGGTTAGAATTAAAGAAATATATAAATTTAAATAAACAAATAGTTTTTCGTCAAAAAAATCTGATATAAGTTGATTCAAGTTGGGAATAATATTTCATTTTCCATCTATCTTAGTTCCAACTGTCCACCTCATCTTGGTTCATTTATCTCATCTTCTGAAAGAAAAAAAAGTACCCTATCGATCATCTCAACACCATTGAACCAAGTCGACTTAGACTGCCTTAAATTTACCTGACTAGTTTTATCACCACCTCGATTTTATTTCTACCAGGGAATGGTCCTAATAATATTAATGCAGTGCTCTACATAAAATATGTCGTAGTAAAAATATTACTGCGAAGATAGAAACTAACATGTCCAGATGTGAGATAATTCTTATCAGGATTATCAAATAGTCTGCTTATATCATATACAGTCTGTTATAAATTTCCTGCGTAGATAATAATTTATCGATTTGCACGACTATTTATATATAATTAAATGTACCGCCTACTGCTTCTAGAGTATGCTGAATCGTCGTGCACTTTCGGATGTAGTTGAGACTCCAGGACGTAGAAGAGAAGAGACAAGGGCTGTAGAAATGGTACGAGTTGGACAAGCTCTCAAACTAGAAGCAATTGTTCGAGGTCTTGCTCCAACATCTCTAGCAACCGTTGGTCCACTTAAACCAAGACCATGGGAGCCAAGATGTATATACCCTGACTTCCATCATGAGTTAGTTTGCGGAGATGTTTGGTCTGAAAATAAATTAATTCTTGCAACTGAGAATGGAACCTTTTTGGTTGAAGGTTAATAATTAATTTAATAGTACTTCATCCAACAAAACAATAATTCCTTTCAGTTGATTTAAACTTATGTGACTCTAGTACTCTTTCTCTTTTAATAGTGAAACATTATTTACAAATAATGACCATGTCAGGGACCTGTTGGAGACATATTTCATTTATTTACACAGAACTAAATTAATAAATAATTGAAATAAATTCACTGGTACCTATGAGAGTTGTTGGAATATCTGGAGCAAAGTTAGACATAGATGATGAAAAAGGTCATGTTAAATTCATGATTTATGTTAGGATTTCTGATGATTGTTCTATTTAACCAACCTGAATGACATTGAATTAAACGTCAATAATTTAAAATAATCATCAATTGATTTATTCTATTTATTAGCTGGAAATATCATTGCAAATAAATTACGTCAGTTTCATAAAATGCATTTAGATATTGAGCAGAATCATCAGAGTATCTAAATAATTGTGACTTCATCATGACAGGATGAAATCAGTTCCAGAAGCAGTGTCATGATGGTTTTTCCACTCTTCTATTACTTTTTGAGATAAAATAATGAATGTGAAAAACAGTTTGCATGAACGTATTATACTCTGGTTTTGAATTACCAGATAAATTAAGTAATATGTCATCAATTTTAATTGATACCATCATAAAAAGTTTCACAAGATCACATGTAAACAGTCTAGTATTTTTTTTAGAATCATTTGATAAAAACTAATTCTATTTTTCCACCAATAATCAATCTCCAAACATTTGATTTTACTCATCAATAAAAGTTTTCAATATTTTTTCATTTTTTTTTTTCAATATATTACCACCATATATAGCTAATCACCATAAAAAAAAAGTGGAAAAAATTTCATAAGATTACTTGTAGAATCTGAACCTCTGAACATCCTTTTTTTTTTGTAAAAAGGATTATCTAAAGTGTAAATTTACGAATCATTTTAATGCTAACCCCAAGAAAAACAGAATGATAAGAATGAAATACATGTTGAGTTGTTTTCTGGTTAACGATACATTCAATTTAGAATAAAAAATATTATCATACTGAAAGAACTTTTTTTTCTTCTAGATGGATTCTCAGATAGACTACTTTTCGATAAAACTGTTCAAATAAAGCAACTAAGTGTTGTTGAACAACATGGAATTTTACTCTTCAGGGCAGGTGATAAAGGCAAGGAGAGCAACGTTTACGTATATCGTCTATCTGAACTTGATGGTGATGGTCCCACAAGTATTGATTACAATTCCTTTGAGGAAGATGATGAAGATATTGGCAGCTTTGCTTCAACTGCTTCTAATCCGAGTACTTCTCGTCCGCATATTGTTAGGACTCGATCTCACGTGAAAGAGCGTAAATTAGACAAGACTCGAGGATCTAATTTCTACAGTATTACGAGACCTGGTGGCTCTCATTTGCGAATGGTAAGTGAGTTATTAATGTCTACAAAATATCTTGTCGCATAATGTATAATGACAATAATTTACGGTGATTATAATTGATAATTACTACGGTAATTAGTTTTATTACTGTTGGAAATAATTATTTATGAAAAACAGATTATTAGCAAGTTATAGCAAGATGAAATATACCGTTATGTAATAAGATAGTAAATAGCTAGTTTCATTGAAACTACTATACAAAAACTTTCAATAGAGTTGAACGAAATAACAGTACAAGACTACCAGTTTATTATCACAATAGTTAAAACAATATTTATAATTACGATAAGAAAAATATTATTACAACCTAATTATTCTAAATAATTATTGATTAAAATAAAATTAAAAACTTGATAGTTAATTAAACTAATTTAATAAATTGAATAATCTTTTTTTAGTACACAAAAATAATTTTCTTTTCAATAAAATTAGTTATCTGAATTAATTTTCTATATTATTATATAAGTTAATAAATAATTGAATTACTGAAACTAATTTTTTTTAATAATAAGAGGGACGTTATGAATAATAAATCGATCAATATCGGAAACAATTGACTTCAAAAACAATATTTATTTCGTGACAATACTGTAGATTCTAGATATCAAAAAAAATATTTCTTTTATTATACTTCTACCCTAAAGTATTTTTTCATTCAATATTTGTATAACACCAAAAGGAGAAACCAAAATAAACCTACTAAATACCTATTTTCGTCTGAAAAATGATTAAATGAATAATTGATATTATTTATCATGAATGTATAACACGATAGATCTGTTTATAGAGAGATTTACAAGCCTCTCGAGACAACAGTTGCTGACGTATGAAGACGGATAGGGACGATCAACCCTATTAAGCTTTATTATATTTTATTTGTTATAACATTTTTGTAAACGTCGAAGAAATAAATGTAAACGTAGAGAAAATTATTTATGTTTAAGATAAAATATACCATATGGTATATTTTATTAGATCATATGTTCTAAAAAAAATTTTTTTAATCTTCCGCAATCTTTGAAATATAAACATGAAACCACTTCACAAAAAGGAGAAATGAGATATTCATCTGTTTGTATGTCAGTTTTTTTGGAGCCATCTGCTCCATATTCATGCGAAATTTCAAATTAATAACTTTGATAGTTTCAAAATTAGAACACTGTGAGATACTGACGAATAGATATATAGGCTTTATGACAAAAACATGAAAGTTTTAACGAGTCTCGAAAAAAAGTTTTACACTGATGTTTTTTTCCTAGTTTTTATTGAAATTAAATACCCGATCATTGCGACTTTAATTGAATTATTTTCATTGTATTTAATAAAAAAGAAATTACCAATATCTTCCTCATTATTTTATTTTACATTTAATAAATTGACATCAGAGTAAGGAAAATCGTTTTTATGAATTAGAAGCAATTACTGTTGAGATTTTTTTAAATAAAAAATATGATCTTAATCCTTTCTATTGTTATCTCGATAATCTTTAATTGCTATTTAGAAAAGTATCATTTAATTTTTTCTAAATAACTAGTATTTTTAATTAAATGAAAAAAATTATTAAGTTAAATAGATATAAAATTAATGAAAATATTTTCCAGTGTGTCGTTATAGGAAAGAAATTAACACTTCTCCAATGGAAGCACAATGCTGCTTGGACTACTTGGTGTTCATCTGCTGACACGGACACCATCGATGGATTTCGGTTTATCAAAGAGTACAACGCTTCGGAGCAACCTTCTATTGTTACAATAATCGAGAGCACAGACTCAAGAAATGAGTGGATACTCTGCTGTGGATTGAAACATCATTTCGAATTAATTTCTGTTGACGGTGCAACTAAATCACTTCATATGGAAGCAACAATGAAACCTCACATTGTAGCAGCCTTAGATTTATGCGAGGATGAAGAGCCAGAACTTTTACTCTGTTATAACAATACTTGTCATTTTCAAAAACTATCAGAGAACACGGCTGCTTCTACAGAATTCGATTTTAACTGGAATTCAGTGCCAATTGCTGTCGCTTGTGCCTTTCCTTATGTTATTGCATTTACAGCTGATACGATGGAGATCCGTTTAATAATTAATGGCAATCTTGTGCATACTATTGCAATGCCAAATCTCACACTTATCTCTTCTAAACGAGATATCTATTTTGCAACAACTGCTCCAGAATTTATGGTATCCAAATGCGAGAGGATTCGGGTTGATTCTAAACCTAATGACAAAGAAGAGAGAAGCAGTAGTCCACCATCTTCTCAGTCCAGTTTAACAAGTGAGATTTTTTCGTAAATAATTGCACCTTTTAATTACACTTTTCTTTACACTAAAATTTTACCACTGAACATAACAGATTTTTTGTTATTTTTTTTTTAGCAAGAAACATTTTTGAAAATTATTTCTTAAAATTGAACGCTTGAACGACAATTGAATATGGATAATTGCGAAACGTAATTTCTAATTATTCAAATTCAACAATCAATAAATTATAGATAATTAATTTTAGAATCTAATGAATATGCATATAACATTTTGTTCACGAGAAATCTACTAAAATAATTTTCAGTTGAACATTGTGATTAATGCAAATTAATTTTTAACTAAAGTCTGACTATAATTTGATGAAAATTTCAAAAATTACGTATTGATATGAAAGCTAAAACACAATGATCAAACAAATTAATAATTAAATTACATCAAACTATATTATACGTAAATAAACTGACAAAATTTTTCAAGCTCGATAAATTTCGAGGTATAAATATATAATTCAGTTTTTATCGATCATCCTAACATATAATTAACCCTGTCACCACCACTGAAGGGTATGATGGATATGGGTAAGATTGCCTTTTTATATAATAAAGATGTATGTTCGTATCTAGAAATGATTATATCTTGTATAACATCAATATTTTTCTTCAAGTATCATTTATAATATAATATAATACCATCAAGGTAAAATTAAATAAGCTCGAGCTTTTGGTATAAATAAACTGGGTCAATGACACCGATGGTAAATAATAAAATAGAATTCAAGTTCAATAGCTGTCTAATTAAAAAATTTGTAACTACTTTAATTATCAATAACTTCAATTTAAAAAAATAGAAAAAGGCAATTTAATCCAATTTTATATTTTACTATTATACTTGAGATATTTTCCTGCACTCAAATTTAATTCGTATCACTTCTATGTTCAATTCAACATTGGTTAGTAAATAATAAACAGTATTTGTTTTGCTCCCTAGACTCGCAGAGTGATTCTAAACCTCTAAGGATCTACCGAATTCCACTGCACACTTTATCAAGGTCAGCACCTTCAAATTGTACTCAAAGACGTTGTCCAAGTCCTGTCGAGCCAGAAATAGTAAACGCACAACCTCCGAGTGATCCTAATTTTTTAAGTGTTGAGCCACATCGATTATTAAGTCGATCTTGCAGTAGCAGTCCAACACCTAACATGGCTGCTTCATCAGCTAGCACACCAAGTAAATAATCAAAAATATAAAGCAAAAGTATTTGAAACCTTTTCTCTACTACCCAAGTGGTGGAATCGATTACCATGTAAATATGGTAAGATTTTGCTGTCAGAATTTTTGATTGTCTGTATGGGATAGTAGTAAAGTACAAGTGATTGATATGAGAGACATTGAGGAGGAAAAATATAAAATGTTATAAGAAGCGGTGCAGTGCGCTGTTTTCTCTCTGATTTGCAGTCACAACAAAAAAAAAATACTTTTTAAAAAAAATCTCTAGATCCTTCGATTACGGTTTATCGGGTATGATTAAAATGAAATATTGTTAAACACGACCTTTCGTGTTCATTGTAAAAATGTTGGTGACAAATTATTGAATAAATCCTAATTTATGTTCTAAAACTGTCTCATATATATTCCTCCTTCAAATAGTCACTAGATTTAGCTATAATAAAACTCCAAACAAATTTATAATCATAATTAAGTTATGAAAAATAGTAAACAAATCATCAATATTCATGACAACTCCCTAAATCTCATTTTTTTAACCAAATAAATATTTTAGATTAATATAAGATCTAATTTGCATTAAACAGTCATCAACATAATAAATTATTTCTTTTAGCCATTAGAAAAATTAAAAAAAAAAATAAAAATACCCTTTTACTTAATCAAATATGGTGTATCTATTCTCAGGACTTTGTTTTAATAAAAAAAAAAACTAATTTCAGTAGAGTGTTTTATGAATGTTTATATAAATAAACATCATAAAAATGGGGGATCTATTGCAATAATTTTAAGCCGAAAATATTGAATGGCTTTGAATGTGCGGCTTTAATATTTTAATTGAAATACTTTTTTATTTCGATTGAAAAAAAATTTATTATCAAATGGCTCGATCTGATTAGTGAGAATTTATGGATAAACCGAATTTGTAAAATGAAAATTTATTTGGTTACATATTATTGTTTATTCCTACATTTCCAGCACAAGCTGAAGTTTAGCTAAAAACTCGATATCTATTTGTGCAACGAAACTTTGTATGTTTTGTCTGTTTGTAAATATTCCAATATCAACCGGAAGCAATATATGTATACCTATGTGGAGGAAATGTTTCTTTTAATGTCAACATGGAATTAATTATGGTATCGTAACTAATTATCATTCAGTAGCTTACAGATTCAACATGTCTAAACTAATAACAATATGTTTAAAGGACACTATTTATTTAGAGTGTAACATTGATAATATTAAATTGAGATAAATCGTATAAGGATAGATCTCGCAAATAAAAAATATTTGTTGTTTACTTACGTTGAAACTCCGATTTTCCTGAAATTTTTGGAGTAAAGCCTTGAGTGATCCCATATATTACAAAACACAATTACTTATACACACTTAATTACACACGTTTATAGACTAACACGCTAAATCACAAGTATAAACTAAGGTCAAAAAAATTAGACACATAAAAAATATAAACACACAAATTTTCACGCTATGAACACTTTGTTGATTATAATGCATTATTTATTCTTGTTGAATGACTTTGACTTATTGAATTATTGAATTTCAAAACATATTTTAGTAGATTGATAAATATAAAAATAATCACTCACTCACATTGATGATGAACACGAACCACTTACGACAGCCATTTTTTTGGCGGGAATAATGACGCCGCGAGCATTGACATATATTCGGAGTTGATTTTAAACTAATTATTGCATAATTTTATTTATGATAGGGCTTATTTCACTTCACTATTTATATTTTTAATATAAATCAACTTATTGACTTTTATTTTTTCATTGTTACTCCATAAACAAACTCCAAAAAAAATGCCGGTTGCATAGCGTCATTGAAAAATCTAGACTCCGTTACAGTTTTTTATACATTTCTTGTTTTGTAGATTAAGTTATTATTATTATTCTTCATCAAACTATTTTAAAATGTTTATTTCAATACTTAAATAGCAAAAACAACATAAATTCTGTTTTTTTATGCAAAAAAATGGGCTTAAATTAGAGAGCGTTGAAGGAACGTCTTTTCGGAAGCTGTGCCGAAAAAAAAATGCGCGCAAAGGGTTGCTATTTGTACTGCCCTCTATTTTTTCAATGCGTAAAAAAGGTAACTCATCAAATTTTCCCACCATTTTTTAAAAATGATAAAAAAATTAATAAAATTCAATGTTATATCTAAGAAGTATTCGTTTTCTTTTCAAAAATACTTTAATTAATGTATAATAAATTATAAACAATTTTTTTTATAGTCCAAATAATTAGAACTCTATAAATATTTCGAATGATATTATTTATTTATATCTTCTATGATGGTAACTATATTATTCTATTCAATATTAAATTAAAAACGTAAATAATCTAGTAATTTATATACTTGAAATAGTTGATGATTTTTCAAATTTATATTTTCCAAAACACGAATTTGATCCATCATTTTTATTATTCAAAAAATGACAATACATAAAATACTAATAAAGCTCTTATAAATGAGTATATATTTATATACCAAAGTATAATATATTTAATTATAAAACCAGTAATTCATAATTATTTGATAATACTATTATAACAGGTTTCATATCAATAAAAAAAATAAAAATCAACATGGTGATGTATAATGTATAATTGTGATAGTATAAATCATTCTGCCACATCCTTTTTTCAAGGCTTAAGGAGTGTTCTTGCAGAATTTAAAATATTAAAATCATTTTGTGACTCTTACTCCTTTTTTTCATTTCTACAAATGGCTGTTAAATCATCTAATGAAGCCGAATGAATGTAGAAATTAGTACTCTCAATATTATATTTACTATACATAAATATTGGAAGCTTATCAGCAAGACAATAGAATTTCCTGGTTTTTGGTTCGATGATGATATCATTGGGGAAGACCAATGTTTCTTCATTCTTAGCAACAATTCCTATCAAAAATAAAAACATTTGTTAATCAATTATCTCATTATTTTAATAATTATATAAAATGACTTTTAATTTTGAAATGCTATTATAGATTAAATAATTCAATGAATTACATAAAATACAGATTTTACTGCTAAATACTTACGGAAGTTGTCAGGATTAAGTTCTTTTTTTGTATCCCAACAAGCCACTGCATTTTTATTGACTAGTGCAAAGTAAATAATTCCAGTTTCAGGATCATACATAGAAGACGTTCCTTGGGTCATTGGTCCTTTATTGCCAGCGATATGGAATTCAGTCCAAACGCGAGGATCAGCGAGTGCAGTTTGATTTTTTAGAATACTTGTAGATACATAAAACTCATGAATGCCAGCCATGGAATGGAAGTAAAGAGTCTTACTGCCGTCTTCTTTAGGTGGACTCAGAGCTAATCCAAAAACTCCATCAGTCCATTGGAAGGTCAAGCCGCTTACATTGAAATCACCTGAAATATCTTGCATTTAAATGTGATCGGATTAGATTTAATATTATGCAACTGATATTACTATTCAGAGGATCTATATGGAAGTAGTTGTGCGAAATTCTCCAAGAATCATTTTTTGCCAAGCTATAGACGACAAGTCCATAAGCTCCTAAATCTGAATTGTAAACGTAAGCATCAGAACAGTTTTTAGGATCAACATCAATCACGGTGTCAGCAAAGAAAGTGTCTGATTTAATGTCAGAATCTTTAAACGTGTATTTCAAAATAATCTGAAAAAAAATAAAATGGCAATGTTATTTTATTCAAGATAAATCTAAATGATTATTTTATCTGATTCAATAAAACGACTTTTTTATTCACAATACCAAATAAATTTATTTGTTTTTACCTTATTAGTTTTCAAATCGATTGCAATAAGTTTTTTAGGTTGTACTTGCTTAAACTCTCCAAGAATATCATCGACCCCACTATCAACTCCCCATAATCGATCACACGCATCAACTCTGACCCTGAGGATGTTGACGAGGGCATCAGGTGAATGGATATCATTGGATTCCCAGTCGGGATAAGGATTGAGTAATGGCGATGTATCTTCTATAATAGTAGAAAAAATTGTTAATAGATAGTTGGAAATTCTAGAAGGTACAAGATTAATGAAAATGACACTGACTAGCTGAAGCAGCATCGCTAAGGCTGATGTAATTCAAATTAGACGCAACTCCTTTCTTCCAACGTGGTACGGTGATGAAGAGTTTATCGCCCCAAACATTCATGCCAAGTGGCACGTTGTTACCCTCAATGTAATCGTCAGAAGCTTTGTAAGCATTGAGCACTGAATCATTTGGGAAGTTATAGGCCACTTGTTTCCATGAAAAAACTGTTTCAAAAGGATCGCAGCTCACTACTGAGAGAGTTAATAGCAATGACAAATACCACATGATGAATCTGGAATAATAAATAATTGTTAATGGCACGCCTCAATAATAAACTTTTTATCTTATTTTATTCGATTTTTCATTGATTACAGGTAACCAAGTCCTGCATACATTCATTGACTATTCAATAGAACATTGTTATTGTCTGCTTATCGACCAGCCACACCTTTATTCCTGCGAAATATATTTATACGATAGTCTTCGCTAGTTATTTTTCTGAATGTCGAATTGTTCTTGAATGTGTTAACATCCGCACTCGAGTTCATTTAAAACGAGGATGCGAATCGCATGTATTTTTTCTGGTTATGAAACTGGTAATTAGAAGGTTTAATTCACGAGCCATTTTTTATCAGACATGTGGGTGAATAGTAAAGAGAGAAATAAAATGTTTGGTAACTAGCTCTTTACTGATGACACTCTCGATTCTCGAGGACACTTTCTCTGTTTGAATTTGCATGGCAAGTACGGAAATGTAAAACTAATAAGAAGAATGTTTTTCTTGATAATATTCGTTTACGTAAAAAGCAATAATTATTTCACAAATAAAACTTTACCTATAATCAATGAATTTATTTCAATTGTTTTAAAAAAAATTGCACAAGTATTTTCAGTCACAATTAAATCTAAATATAACTACTTCAATTACTTTAACAAATCAAATTCTTAGTAGAGTAACACATTAAAGTTTTTTCAAATTCATTTAAATAAAAATATTATTTTCCATAAAAATGTGTGATGTTTTTTTATTTTAATGTTGAATTGATTACATAAACATGCAGAATGATATTTAAAAAGTTCAAAGAAAAAAATCTTAAAGAAAAGAATTGCACACGAATTGCAAATCACAATAATCATAAAAATAATAATATATCTAATAAATATTGAATAATAATTGGTAGAATGTGAATAACTGAAGGTGAATTGTAATAGAGATTGGTTTGAAATTAATCAAACAGTACTCACGTATGGATTAAATTGGAGAACCAGACAGCCTGGAGAACGGCACGACCGTGAATGCCACCAAGCTGCAATCAGATCTCTTATATACTCGGTCATCATGGATGTCAGCCACACACTGGGGATCAAAGTATGCTTGGATTTGGATGTGTCCATTGATATTTACCAACAAAGACTGGTAGCACCTGTCAACTATCAATCTTGTTAATGACATAATTAAAAAACAAACAATTGATATTTTTTATTATTAAAAAAAATTAAATATTATCAAATAAAAATATTTAAAAACTTACCAAAACAAGTGAGGTGTTTTTAGCTTATTCGTTCGATATATTCATCGAGGCACTAAAATTAGCGGAAATTGTTTAATAGCATTGGATTTATTACTATGACTTGACTAGAAGGATTTTTTTTTATGTTTAATGAAGGTCTTCTATTGTAACTATGTAGAACTTCTCACATATTTCTTAAGTTTAAACTTTAATCAGTCACAATTATAATTATGAATGAATCAATCCTTTAAATCCTTATCAAATAAATACAATCACTTTACTTTTATCACGTTCATTAAGAAATCTTAACGGTAATTAAATATTTTATCGAGTTTAATAATGTAATTTCCGTTTATGATAATCTTATTATTTACTTGCATAGTTGAAACTCAAACTTCATGTCTATTTTTGGCTTTCATTATGTACTAATAAACATTATTTAACAAAATGAAATACAATAAAATCGATTCTATTCAAATAAACTTTCCCACAAAAAATGTATTCATTCAAACAGGATATGAACTGATTCATAAAGATGATCGAAAAAAGTAACAAGTATTATGTATGCAAATGAAATGAGATTTTAAAATATAAAAAGTGAGTTATAAATAAAAAAAATTGATTAATACAAAATAATTCATCTATTTACAAAACGTTAAATGTGAATTATAATATACAAAAATATACACGTTCGTAATTTGATTTCATATAAAAAATACAATTAACATTACTTTTATTTTATAATCTTATTTTGAACTTTCGATTGTTTTAAAATTTTCACGTATTTGAGTGAATTCAGTATAAAATGCTCACGAATTTTTACCTATGAATGTCCATCGTATTTGATGTAATAAATAAATATATGGAATAATTAAAATATCACTAACTACAGCATCTTGCAGCTTCTTATATAAAATCCGAAATGGAACATCTGAATTAAAGTACGTCTTCTGCTTCAACATCTTTTGTCTGTTGATTCTTTTTAATTTTTCTACAGAAATAATTTATAAACTTATAATCTCAAATATGTATAGTTAAGTTAGAATAAAATTAAATTTAAAGTAGAAACAAGTAGTTACTTTTTCAAAGTTATACTTACTTTCCAAAGTCTTCACCATCCTGAAGTGTTTCTGGTAGTTTACAGTCGTTAGTTTCTGGTAACAAGACAACTAAACTTGCACCAATAAGTGGTAATATACCAAATAGTAAAGGTGGAAGCCAATCTCTTATTAAACTCTGAAAAAAGCGAAAAGTTTAATGTTAGGATGGTATTATTAAATCTTTATTCAAATTATATCGCTTTTGTTTAAGAAATTTATTCTGTAATTTACCAAAGAGACAACAAACGGTGCCACCATTGAACCTATTCTTGCGCACATGCTACTGGTGCCAACACCAATATTCCTGACTACAGTGGGAAAAAGCTCGCCAGAAAAAAGGTAGACAGTGGTAAATGATACAGACATTCCCACAATTCCAAAGCAGGCGAAAATAAGTCTGAGCCATGCTATGTCTGTAAATGAAACAAAATTACTGAATAAATATCAAGCTCAGGAAGAACAATCATCGAATATACCTATATTTTATCTTTTTCATTTTTGAACTTCTTTTAATCTTATGAAAAAATGAATGTATTCTTTTTTTAATATTTTGTTTTAAAATTTAAAAAAAAGACATTCAGGTTTAATGATGATTCCCTGAGTACTTTTTTTTATCTGAACTTTATTTCAAAGAAAAGAGTGTGAACGCAGAAGTATTTGTAAAAATCTCTTGAAATAAAAATTTCATGTTTCTCCCTATGTGTCAATTTACATGAATACTCAATAAAATAGCTCACAAAATCTTTTGAATAAAATGCAGCGGCAGAGAGATATTTACAAAAAATCTGTTGAAATAAAAATTTCATAAGTTTCCAAGCATGCGTCAGCTTACGAGAATTTTTCATACAACAGATGAACTTGTTATTTGAATAGAATAGCTCGAAAAAAAAAATGAAAACGAAATTATCAACTAGTAAGCTGCGTTATTTAACTTTTCTCTATTTTGGCTCTAGTTGAAAATTATAGCTGTAGCTTTCAACTCACTCAGTGGAGTAACAATCAATAGTAGTGCAGCAAGTCCGGCAGTGATATGACTAACAATAAGAGTAATTTTTCGGCCCAGTCTATTCATTGCCCACCAGGCAACAAAATTTCCAGGGATTTGAGTGACTCCAGAGACTGCAAAATTAAGGAAAATATCTCCTCCAACTTGCCCTATATATTGGGTCATGCCAAATAAGCCCATTCCGCAAACTATCCAGTTAAAAAAAATCGATAGTGACTTTATCCTCATGTTTGGAGTTCGTAAAAGGTCTAAAATCGATGCTGAGTGATCAGAGGCTGATTTTCTTGAATGCTGAAATCAAATAAAAAATGATAAAATCTACTTACAAAAGTTTGAAATAGTTCATTGATCTGACATTGATGAAAATTTACCTGATGCAAATAATGCTTCCTAACTAGTTCAGGAATATCTTTTTCTTCTACTTTGTTCATTTTCGCTGCTTTCTTGAGTATTTTACAAGCAGCCTGTTGTTTGTCAACAGCTAAAAGCCATCGTGGAGATTCTGGTACAATCCACCAATAACTAAGAAGAATAATCGATGGTAAGCTAATAGCTAATTGAAGATGCTGCCAGTGACGGAATAAGTATGCTATTCCTGCTAGAGACATGTGCCCTAGACTAAAAGGAATTTGATAAAGAACTGTGATTGCTGCTCTCCATTTAATTCCAACGATTTCCATACAAATTACGTAACTAGTCACCATTGTACCACCTGTGGCCATAGCACTCAATAACTTAAGAAGCAATAATGCTGGAAACCAAGGAACAATTGCACATCCTATTCCTGATGCTAATTGCAAAATTACAGAGATCATCAGTGGAATCTTCCTTCCATACCTAAAATATGAAATGATTACTCAATCTTTACTTCAATTTGTACTATTGGAATTATAATACGTATCGAATATCATTGTTTGCTTACCTATCGGCTAAACTTCCGAATGTGATATTACCAAGTAAAATACCGAACATCAGAATTGACTGTAGAACATTGGCGTAATGAGATCGATTGCAAACCAAACCCCACTGGAAAACAAATGAAAATAAGTTTAAGAAGATATAAATTAGAATTAATTTAATGAAAACGATAAATTCTATTTATTCCACTTCAACTTTCATTCGTTATTAACTTTTTGGACATTATTATGTATTAATCCATCCAATAAAATTCTATGCCAACTTTTTATTAAGCTTGTATTAACTTCTCTTTTAAGTTACTGATAACTAAGAATTGAAAAATGCTTTTTATGTTAAATTAATTAATATTCTGTTCCAAAGTTATAATTATTTTACCTGTGAGATTATAGTTTCGGGAAAAATACTTTTGTCAAAATCCCAATCTTCACACTCCAGTTGAGTCCCATTAATACTGACAAGACATTGATCTTTATTATCAGATCTTGCAGGACTGGTACAATTAAATTCTTGCTTCTGGGGTGCCATAAAGACAATAGCAAGCTGGTGCCAGGCTACAGGAAATTTTACTAGAGAGATAGCGATGCATACTAAAACTTGCCATCTTCCCATAGCTCCCATTGCTTCCGATATCGCATCCACCTCTTCATATTCGACCTTCTCTTCTTTTTCTTTAACAACATTGTTTCCATTCACTTCAGCTAAAAATATAGATAAAAGGAATTTAATTCAATTATAGAATTTTTTTACTTGTGTCGGAATTGGAATTTTTGATAAATTAATATGATATTGGGGAAAAAGTATTCGAGTTCAATTAATAAATTCAAATATTTGATTGAAAGTAATAATAAACAAAAATCTGTTATGAATAACTAGTCAAGAAACTCATCATTTATTAATTGAAAAAGTATTTTATTACAGAATTTCATGAACTAATTATTTTAATTAAACTTTTACATACATTAATTGAGAAGTATTAATTACGGGATGATTAAAATGACATTTGCAATAAATAATAATACTGCTTGAACGAATTATATGTATGCACAAACTTAATTTACATACCATGAAAATTATTATTAGTTATCATTGATAGTTATAAAATTGATCAATATTTTTCAACATCAAGAATAATTTATAAAATAATTTATTCACATAGTAAATAAATTTTCATTGACTTACATTGATGTTGACTCTACAATGCTCGAAAGAGAACAACACAAGCTATACTACTCTAAGACATAAAGTATTTATTTGGATATAACATGATTGGTAGAATAATTGAGCTTTGGTGTTTTGTTTACATTTGAACTCGACTCAAGACACTGCTCGGTAAGGTTCAAAACATCCACCACCATTCGTTATCAAGCAGACATTTTTGAATGTGTAATGTATGCATATATTTTATACTTCACACTTTCTCAAAGAAATAATTATTTCAGTTGCCTTTTGAAATCATAGGTTGCGCAAGAATCGTAAGAGATTATTAGTTAGCTTGTATCAATCTGCAAGAAGTTTATGAATGACGTCAAAAAAAGTAGCTTCAAAAGTGATTACAAAAGTGGGTGTGCAAAAGACGTAACTTATCGGATTGGCTTGTGACTTCAATCGTCATTGCGTGTTGATTAAAGAAAGAGAATAAAGATGATAATATTACGTTGGCGCCAATGACACACTGGTATGCACATTTTAATGACCGTTAGCAGGTTGTTAGCACTCTTATTTTTCAATCACGCAACTGGAGGTAAATAGTTTAGAGTGTTGATAAGAATAGAACGAGAAAAACGAACTTTGCCCGCATGTATTTTCATGTAATTGAGAAACACAAAACATTTTATGAGAGCATCAGTTAAAGAATGATTGGTAAAGAACTAATTGCGAAATGGTGATAAAGATTCAAATCGTTTTCTGAATAAATCTCACTAGACAAAACTCGGTGATAAGTTGTTCTCGGCTAAGTCTAGAAGAATCAAGGACTTATTATAATTAATTAGAAATGAAACTTGGAGATTAAAATTAAGAGCAAATGAATGCAAGTTTTGATAAATCAAAAAATTTAGGTTAAATATTTAATCTTTTATCATAAAAAAAAAGCTAATTTCTCTTTAAGTCCTTCAAACTTGGCATTAAAATTTTCATTATGAAAATTTTTTGCTTCAATAGAAGTAATTAATAGTAATATTTGCACATTGTCAAGTAAAATTGATATATCATATTGATCTTAATTCAAGTGTTCAATTAAGATATAAAAGACAACATGAATACTTCAATATTATATGTTCATATTGTTATCAGTTGAAGTATTAGAAATATCACATACAATAAATTATGAAGTCTTCTTGACATAATAATTGAAAAACAGATAAAATTAATTATGTATATTAATCAACTGCATTCATTTTATTATTTAATTATTTAAAATACAATTAATGATCTAACGACAAAGTAGACTTAATTGCTTTTTTTTTAATATTATGAGATTTTTCATTATTCACATGTTTATTACATTCTGCATGTGAATATGACATGTGAAAATAAAATTTTTTTCTATTGTTTGTATCTTCATGAAAGATACTGTCAACGATTTTCTTCAACAATTTTTCAATTACTTTTGTGAGTAAATGAATTTCAATGCACAGGTAAATAAATCAATTATCATTCAAATTAAAAATAGAAGCGTAGTGCACTCATTAATCATTTTTTCTCATCTTTCATATTTAGGAGGAAATTCAGTTTCAGTAATTGCAGTGAGTACTTGGAAACTTATGAATAATGGATTGATTGATGTTGCAAATTTCATCAAGTCCTTGACTCCCAAATTTTTTGATCATTGGAATCGATGAGAATATGACATGTGTAGAGGGCATATGGAGCAAGAGTAAACCTTCATGTTCAAGAATACAACCTTGATGAATGTTAATATTTTCCTTTTTAAGGTAAAGGTTAAAAACAATAATTAAGTCAATATCAATGATGAGTGAATGAGATAAAATCAAAATATCAAATAATATTCTAATGAAATACTAGAACTTACCATATCCATTAGTCGAAATATTCTTCATAGCACCGGTCGATGCTATACTCTGAATATTCTTCTATCTTCTGACTTGTTTATCTGAAATATTTGAAACTAATCGTTAATTTAAATGCGTAAAATATTATTTTTATTTAAATTATAACACTTTAAATGACTACAAAACAGTCTCAATGACAAACAAATTTCTCATATGCTGATGAAAGTATTTTATAGATGACGTATCTGACAGACTTTTGATCTTTCAAGGCGACAAATACATATACGCATTGATGAATTACTCAATATTACCATATACATCATTTTTATGTTAACTGACACATAGATGAAGCAGATGTGTTTGATAAAAAAATTGTCATAATTGAGATTGAATCAATTTTATACCAAATCGACTGCAGGAAAATCAATATTGATGCACCAACAGAGAAAATTTTCATATAGTTATCTACAATCTATTTAAAAAGAACTGCATACTTTCAAGAATCTATTGTTTATATCAAGAATAATTGAAAATGAATTGTAAAAAGATGATATTCAGAAAGCAATTGATCAAAATATTTTTATTATAATGGTATGTTTTTTCTGTAAAAACAGAACTAATGATTAACAGTTTTTATGACACGATTTCATAAGAGATATATTTGATTAATTGCAATTTTTTTTTAAAAATAAATCTAACTCAATCATGCATACGTATTTAAATAATCAAAAGAAAATAATTAACAAGTCAATTAAAAATTATATTTTTTACTTTTTGGGATTACGAAGAATTTTAAATCGTTGTCAATTATCATTGCTAGTCAGATGACATTCTCATGAGATAATAAAATATTACAAAATTACTTTAATTGATATTTAAAGTTGAGGAAAATGTTGTGAAGCCTATTATAAACTTACTCATGGTAATCATAAGTACAATATAATAAGCTCGGTATTAAAAAAGTAAACTTGAATTATTATATCCGAAGATTAACAAGTTGTAAACTATCTGTGATTGTAGGTCATTGTATACACATTCTGTAATATTATCGTTTAAATTACTGTTATCATCGCTGTCAACTAATTACGTACAAATGTATATCCAATAATCTGTATAGCGTCTCTATAGTGTTATTGACATTTTTGTAGACAAGGATTATTGGTTAGCAATCTAGTTTTTAAAGTTATTTCTCCAACTAATTATAGATTCTAGTGTATTTAATTCTCCTTTTGAATTAGATTAAACTTTTCAATAGTCTTCGATTTTTCTAGATAAAAAATTGCAATTAAATCGTTTGGTTTTTTTTTTTTAATTAATCAAGTTTATCGGAAAATCCAGAGTGAATTGAAGTTCAATAAAATAATGCGTTGTTGGATAAAATTTCTTTAACTATTTTTGGGACTACTGAACAATTTTATATCATAGAAAGATATTGCAAGGATAAGTTATGATGATCGTAAATTGAGTTAGCGATTCTATAGCATTTTCTCGAAAATCCTACCGAGTTTATCTTCGGATCTATTTGACACAGATGTTTATGAGCTTTCAGAATTTCTCTTTTCAATCTAGTAAGTTGAATCATAATCCAAGTACAATTTAATTAGATAATAATACAATTTATTTTATTTAAATAATTTTTTTTAAAAGAAAAATTCATCCACTAAGATTGATATAATTTATCAGACAATTTCTTATTAAGTGCGGAAAAAAATTGTGCAGACAGATAAAATGATGATAAAAGAAAGTCATACTGTCAATGTTGAATGATTAAATGAAAATACGTTTGTATTATTATCTCGTTAGTCAAGTCGCAAATAAGATATACATCCAATCTAATCCAGGTTGATCTTGTAAGATTACTTGATGCACTAATGATCATAAGTATGAATTAATAATTCATCAAGTTACATGTGTATGAACATCAAAAGAATTTAGATGATATCTTTATATCAGTGATTATGATTGTTGGTAAGATAAAGCATTTTATTAATTGATTTTCTGTAAGTGTAAACGGACATGCGATCAAATTTTACAATGTGATGACCGAGTGCCAGTTGTGTTCTGAATATCAAGGCTTCGTCCGTGACACAGAGATAATGTTTATGAATGCGTAGGCGAAGACATAACGTGCGGAATACAAGTGTTTTCAGCGCGTGACAATGAAATAGTAAAATTATCGAAATAATAGAATATAAACACGACAAATTTACTAAAAAACTTCTGCAAAATATTACAATTTCCTGCTTATTAAAACATAGAAAAATTTATGATTTCATTCTTTAGTGTTTATTCTAATAAACTGTGATGAATAGTATTTTCATAATTATTTATATGAGCTTACAAAGCGTAGACAAGAAGATGAGTAATGTCACAATCTAATAGATTTTGCATAAAAGAATCGTAAATAGCAAATGTTAATAACAATATTTTACATTCTAAATTAATTATTTAAATAGCTTGCCTGCAATATTTAACAAAGTTATGATATTGAATTGAATAATTGTTGCATTGTTAATTAATGAGTCAAGTTCAATATTCAATTTAGTGACGCAGACATTATTGCCAATAAATAATTAAATGATCCATGAATTAAAGTACCTGATGTATGCTACTCGAACTCTTTAAATTATTTATCAATGTATTTATGCTTCAGTTACATCGAATTCTAAGCAAAGTGTAAATGGTTGCCAATTTTTTAATTCAACATTGTAAACAGTTTGGTTAAATTTAAAACTATGCGGTATTCATTCAAGTTTGAATCTGTTAGAAGTTTACTCGAGAGCAATCGTTAGAATGATTTATCAAGTATGATAGTAATTAAAACATTAAATAAATTAAATTACCTGATCAGTGAATCAGTTGATTTGTGTAGAAGAATAGTTAATTCGAACAACTGGAATTGTTCGGTCCCACGGACCGAATCTCTGCATCAGCACTTGTTCTATTCTAGGTCTTGGCGTTGCGCTTACTTGCAGCACACGTGTTCCTTGATTGCTGTTCTTTTAACTGTCTCTCTGAGTGAAACTTAATCCTTCTTTAAGACGTAAAACAATAATTTCACGCTTTATGCAAACAAAGTCTAATTAAGAGATCAAGTAAACTTAATATGCCAATTAGAAGATAAAATCATACGTTGTAGCAACTCCGTTATTTTTTGAATAATAAACAATACAATAGTTGAACTTAGAATTGGAGGCAACAAAAAAGTTATAAATGAAAGAATAATTCCAGTTCTTTTTTACTACTCTGATGATTCTAATGCGAAAATTATTTCAGGTTTACAATAACTAATTGAGCTAGTTAGTTGCTGCAGCAAGCATCGCACATAAGCAACTGAAGTGGTCGGCAAGTTTGTCAGTCATAAAGTTGGTCTTGTAATATGTTCCCCAAGCGGGTAGTGAGTGTTAACAAGGAGAAGGAGCTCCTGATAGTGGTGGAAGTATCAGAAGTGAAGAGAGGAGGACCTTACGCAATGGTGGTTGAGTGAGTGAGACACTATCAATTTGTATAAAATCTCAATAACTATAATATATCAATTAAAAACCAATTCCCACTGAAACAAATGCTTTTATAAGTGGTAGAACAAAGCTACGATTGGAAAATTATTAATGTTGTTACTCAACTAGAATCTAAAGGAAATAGAATCATTCCATTAAATAAGCAACGACAAAATTTCCATGACATATATCAAGTCAATGACCGGAGTGAAAGATCTGTTAATCTTTAGGTCATAGGTCACACGTGTTACAAGATTAATACGCAATTTTTAATAATACACATTTGTGTAAACAAAATGATACGTTCGAATCAAGGTCGTGGAAGCACCTTGTAAATTGATATACAATCAGTATTGTTTACAAATCCAAATCTCATTTTTATTATGTCTGCATCATTTTCTTCATTTTAATAATGTACATTATAGTGTGAGCTTATACGAAACAGTGTTACAAGTTAGACTACATCAGATGACCATTTTGCTCAAGTGTCATTATTATGCTAAAATGATTCGTTCGTATCAATCAACTGCAAGGAAATTGAATACTTTAATGTCTTCTATCGTTTAAAAGATTCTATGAGATGCAAAAATAAAGCTTTAATAGCGAAGGTTGTCACTATTTGAGTTGTTCATTATTTACACAAAGATACACGTTGTATGAATAAACAAAATTATATTGAGCATGTATGAGCATTAATTTATTAATTTATATTTCTTATTAGAATAAATGATATTATTGATGTTATAATTTATTGAATAATCGATTATTTTTTATTAACATTTAATTCATTTTTTTGTTTAATAATTCAATTGACTTTTCAAACTAAATTTAAAATCTGTATGTATGAATAAGCATTTAATAGTCATAAGATAAAATATTGATTCATTAAAAAATTTTTTTGGTATTGATCATTGCTATAATTATTTCATTGATGTTTTGTTTTAGGAGTATTGACAAGAAATCCAGAAACTTCCATTGATTTACAATCAAGAGAAGAAATAATTATTCAAACTGACACTCTGCTGTAACAGTTATTGCCTTCTTATCTGCTCTCAATTGACAATTAATTTTTTATGTTAATGAAAATGATTAAATATGGTTAAAGAAAAACCATAAAACAATTATAATAATTGATGTAGCAATGAAGGAAAAGAATTTGGAAATATGCTCAATGATATATTGCCACCAAAGACCATTAATTACCAAAATTAGAAAGAAAGCACAATTTGATGTACTTGATACCAATAAATTTTCTCCAACATGACATCGATCGAAGTTACTTTGCAAGGAATGTGGAAAGGCTTTGAAGGACTTTCGGTTTACTACATGACCATTGCTATAACCCACCGGGAGTGGTGCTATACTTCAAGGTAGACACGTAGAAATCTCGTAAAAACTATACTGATATTTTTCAAGTTTTAAATCATAATTGCATTCCAGGAAAAATAATTACAGAGACGTTAAATACCACGAAAATAGTTTAGAAAATAAATTAATTCACAATACAAGTGACTTTCAATTAAGTAAAGTAAAACTAATTTAATCTGACGATCGTTCACTCGCGGGACAATTTAATTGATCTGCATATGTCGCGTTAAATGGCTTGATTGATATAAATTTGTTTACTGTGATGATGCACTCAGTAATAGTTAATTAATATATGAGAGATGAGACAAATGTCGCGAATTCTCATGCTGATTTATAATTGACTTGAATTTATTTTCGTTAGTTTTGCATTATGAGATTTAAAGGAAACTTTTTAATAAGATAGTAATAACTATCAAAACCGGAACAAAAGAGGAAAAACGTCTACTTTCTACATTAATAATAACTTTGGTTATCAAGTTGCTGTTAAATGTTTTAGAAACAGCTTAGACAATAAAACTGGAAAGGGTAAAAGGGGAATTCTTATTATATCACTATTCTAAGAAAATTTTTTTTAATACTGATAACATAATTTTATTAAACTCGGTCATCATTTATTGCAATAAAGACTTAATAAGCCAAAAGTTTTATACAGAGTGTTAAAAAGGATATATGCGTGAGTCAAGTAATTATTAGATTGAGGTCTTAGAGCATTTATTAAAATATATTGTGTCTCATCTGTTATAGAGATTTTCATAAATTATATGACATACATTTTAAATTATCTTAAATCCAGCCCTTTTTCAAGCTCACGAAAAAAGTGAGGATATTTTAACTAATTAGAGTCTACTTTTTTCATGTTCTCTAAATTTTCAGAAGCAGCAGACGCAAAAACATTCACGCAAGGAAAAAGAATTGAGGTAGAAGGAAAATAATGCACTAAGTAAAACAGTGGTTAAAAGAGATGATAAAATTTATGAAAAATACTTATCATTATTAGTGGAATATTTCGACGATGATACAATAAAGAAGTCAATACATATATATTTTCTTCTCGATTGTTCAATTTATAATGGAAATATTGCATCTTTATCAGAATACTTTTATTCATCATTAATACGATACTTATAATCAAATAACCATGGAAGAGAAGTCAAGATAAAAGTAAGAATTGTTAGAAAGGCAAAATAGAATCAAAGAACATCAATGCCTTTATAGAAAAGTTAAATAATAAATAGATGGAATGAAATGACCTTTTGAAACATTTAATAACTAGGAATCTTCAAATGCTCAATATTTGTATTTGTGCATAAATATTGAATTTTATAAATAAAATTTTTTACATTGCCATTATCGACGTCACTGACTCTTCAGAAAAGATAGAAGGTTCAAGGTATTCATTCTCTGTTATCAATAATTATTCCGTTAATTAGTCTGTCGTTTGTCTTCATGAAGATACTTGTGTAAACAAAATTATTCAATTAATGAATATTTCTTTTTGACTTTTAATCTCAATACCAATTATCTTGATAATAACTCCAATTTAATCTCACGTTTAAATTCGCAAATCGTTAACTCTTGGCTTTTTCATATTTTTTAATTTTATTTTTGGTTTATCGAAATGAAGTGATAATTGGTATGACAAATTTATCACTTTTTGGAGATAAATCGAATTTTATTAAACTTTTATTTATAAATAGCTATAAGAATTTTATTACTTCAAGTCTGATAGGCTGTACTAATAATCTTGAACTAAATTCTTTTTATCCAAAAGTATTAAAAATTCTAGATTACAATATTTATTCGGTCCGATTTAATTTGAAAAACAGTTTCCATATTCTTATATGAAATTCTTAAAATTATTTTATAAAAATCAATAAATTCGTTCTATAAAAATAATAATAAAATTTTTATTTTTCAGAATATCTGGAAGTAAATGGAAACTAACCATTAGAAAACAAGGAATCATAACAGCCAAACCTTATGATGTGCGTAATGTTGATGGATGTTTTTTTTTTTAAAAAAAACCACTAACACTTGCTCATGTCCGGCAGAAATTTTTATTTAACAAGTGGTTCCATAAAAATTTATCCACAGGGAAATACTTGTAGATAGTGAATTATTTATTTGTTAAAATTTACGTCAATCATTTTATTGATACATATTTTATCTAATTGTGAGGAAATTTTTTACATTTACGTCAAATGCATAGTACAATTGATAACTTTTATTTTATGCTTCACCACAGAACCACGAATGACGTTTTGTTGATGATATTTGACTTTTTTTAGTGAGTAATTTTTTTGTTAAGTTAAATTTCCTCATAAATATTTAATTAATCACTCACTCATTCAAATAGATAATGAATTCAACTTTTTTTAAAAACTACAATCAGCGGCTGATAACGATGATACTTCTTTAAGTCTTGACACAATTGTGTTTTGTAGTGATTCTGTTGTGTGCTATCTACAATACCTACGCCTGCAAATTGTAACAGACTTTTCTTGATTACATACTGCCGCTAAACGTTTAGAAGATTTAAATTTAGATTTTTTCTCAACTTTTCATGTTCATCAATGAAGTTTATTTAAAGCTTCTTCTTTATAGACCCTAGTATTTTTTTGTAGTATTCCCTTTCCAATTTCCTGATATAAAAAAGCAATCATTCTAAACGAAAATAATATTTAAGTCATTTTTTTCTCAGATTTGTTTAAAGCGTTCTTGTTATCTAGTTTGCAAATTTTTAAAAACATTTTATTGACAGTAAACAGTGTTAACTTCATTTCAAAAACCTTATAGCTTTATCAATTGTTATTCAGGAAAAATGATTTTACTACATACAATCATATTATGAATGATAACTATAACAATGACAATCATTCATGCCGTCTAAATGAATTCAATGGTTTTTCTTCATTCATACTCAATGAAAAAAAAATTTATTCCAAAATGACAAAAATTTTAAAAGTTTTAGGTCAAAAAATAGATCGATAATTTTTTAAATCTCTTTTCAAATACATCATCATCATCATCACATTAAGAGGTACAAATTGATTCTTTAAAAGTTAAATTATAATTTAATTTATGGATTATATACTAACTCGTAGCAAGCTTGCAGACAGTTATGTAAAACTGACTTCAGTGTAAAATAACTTAATCTCAAAAACACGCTTCTTTTTCAGTGTGCGTCTCATATTTGAGTCAACTATTGCTGTAAAAAAGGCAAACTTCATCTAAAAATTGTGAAAAAATATCCACCACAGAAGTGAGAAGTTTTATCTATCTGAAACCGCAATAAGCTGGTTGCCGATGCAGTTTACTAGTCTTCTATTATCATCTGAAGCTTCTGAGTCAGCTAAACTCGCAGTGCTGATGTTTTACTCTGCGTACATTATCTATCAAGTGTTAATATAACCACGAGAGAGATAACATTCCAAAGAGAAAGAGATAAACGAACCTACATCGTTCACGTGAACCAGAGGAGACTAAAATCTACCACGCATTCAGTACAAGTTTCGTGCGACCACGAAATTGATTTACTAAATAAATTCTTGATCATTGATAACGAAGAGATTGTAATCTTCATTAAGTTTATACCTATAGTAATGAAATTCTGTGAAAGGTTGAAGACTTATGAGTGAGCATTAAGTGCACGTGCACTACAAATCGATATGAATATAAGAAAGAATAATATCTTGATGATAAATTTTAAGTTTAAGTGTACCGGAAAAGTCTTAAATCATTACTAATACATAAATAGAGATATAATTTTATAATTTCTTCGATGCAATCTTATCACTATTACAAAACTATTTCTCTCCAGAAAACATTCAGACCGTTCATAGCTGATAGTTGGTGAATAAAACAAAAAGAAGTGGTGAATATAATAAGCACCAGTGAATAGATGAGTGAATAGGTTCTCGAGGGCAAGGTGCAGGGTGAGGTCAGTGGAAATTGTGCCCTCGTTTGAGATAATAACTGATTGATGCTGCCTTTTAAGCATCTCAGCAACAATCTCGTCAGAGACTGGGTGACGAAGCTTTTATATACTTCTTCCGATAAGGAACTTTGAAACATGAAAATGAACAGTGAAAAGTTGGAAAGTATTCGTCGTAGAACTCAAGAAAAATCATTAGAAATTAATGAAGGTAAGAACGTCAAGAAAAAAGTACAAAAAGATGAAAAATTTTGAAAGTAGTTTCATGATTTTCATCTTTTTTAAAAATAAATTCAATCTGATAAATTCAAAATTAATCTTATCTGAAATACCAATGATACAAAAAGTTATGTTTTATTTTTAAAATTTTTTGTAAACGAAAACAATACTTCTGACTTTACGTTGCTTTACGTTAAAAAATGAATTTTAATTAAATATCAATTTTGTATGAAAGTAAATTGTTCATAAAAATTCGTGATTTTTTGTTATCATTTTATATATTTTCATAATATTTGTGCATAGAAATTTCAATTTGAAATGCAAGATTAAACTGATAACGATATTATTGATATATCTTATAAATATAAGAGTGAACAGGAATTAATAATGCAATTATTGATAGCTAAGCTCATCATTATTCAAACGGCAATCATTTGATTGTTCCACGTGAAATTTGATCGTAAATATACCTATCTATTTGTGCATTGATTTGTTATTAATACACTATATAGATTTTCACTTCAAACTCATTCAGTCAGTCAGTGTTTTCATAGTTATCATAAATACTCGGTGTCGTTTTATGTCAATATGGGTATGGTGTAAATTTACATTGAAAACATTCTTATTTGTATATTTGCATAGGGTAATTAGTAATTTATTTTATAATAAATATCTGTTTCAGTGAAAGAAGACATTAAAAATTCTAGTAATAACAGCTCTCTCATGTCTACCAAAAATTTACATTCCGATCAGGTAAGATCATTGTATTAATTAAAAATCATTCTATAATTATTCATATATGTGTTTTGAAAGTAAAACATAACCAACATGAGAGTTTTCCAGAAAGTACTTATTTGTTTGACAAACATTTTTTATTAATATATGTAGAAAACATTATTCGTGCTATAACATTAATAAATTGAGGGTTTAAAGTGGAAAATGTATATTAGAAATCTTCTAGAAAAGAATTAGTTTAAAAAGGTTTATTAAATTTATTGTGAAACGTTTATATAAAGTATCTACATGGATACGTGGATAATGAATTAAGTGAATAACATGAGTAATTAAATTACATACTTTCTACGTTGATTTAAATACTAAAAACAAAGTAGCTAAATGACAACAAATTGAATATTCTTAGTCAACAAATATAATAAACATAAAAAAATTCAATTTAATAATAAAATGGTAGTTTAATCATTGATTATGTTATCTTTATCAAATTCTTCGTTCGAGGACATTGGGGAAAATATCTGTTACTCTCGATTTATATCAACTGTTAACTTTATTATATCTTTTTTTCAGAGACTACATGAAGAAAATAAAAATTTTCTTGATTATAAAAAGAATTCTAGCAATGAAGAAAAGGTGGAAAAAATAGATAAATACGATATTGGAGATTCAAAATATATTATTACAAAAGATTTTGTTAATGACAAAAAGTAAATGTCATAATATTTTGGTGTTATAAATATTCTATAATGATGCAATTAATGAATACATTTAACAAATATTTATGTTTGATTCAGGAAATCATCAAAAAGTGGCTGTTTGCCAGAAAAAATGTTTCAAGTTAGAAATTCATTGTTGACTGATTTATTCAATGATATAAAACATGTAAAAACCATTTATAATGTTTTCATAGCCATTCTCATAATACTGCTAGTTAACACAGCTGCTCATGACCTTCTTGATACCGGATCGTAAGTGCCAATAAATTATTCATACTTTAGATATGCAATTTTCGACTAAAGTTTATCAATCAATATATTTTCTTTAATTAAATTAATTTGTTTTTAGTTTGAGTCTTGGTTTAACAACAATACTCAAGGGTTTTGGAAAATTCTCTCATGTCATTTTTATTTGGCTATCAATGGTAGCCTCATCATTTTCAGTATATTATGTTCATAGATTTTGGGCTTATCGAAGAAAACAATTATCTCTAAAATGTATTATTTTTTTTTTTATTTCAAACAAACAGCGTAGTTATAAAACAATAATTAACAAAATATGACTAAATTTAAATATATAATTGCAGCTAATTATGTTAAAGTGTGGGATTACACATGGCTTATTATTTTTATCATTTATCAAATCACTTTCATTGTTGTGCCAGCACAAGTTGTTATATATTTCCAACTTCCACCTCCTTCTTCATTTATTATCTTAATGGAACAGGTATTTATTTATTTTTATTGCTAAAATAGTGTTAATAGTCATGCCATTATCGTAATATAAAATTAATAACTTTTCTTTTTAGGTGCGATTAGTTATGAAAATCCATGCATTTGTTAGGAGTACTGTTCCAGTAATTCTTTCAAATAAACCTCAGAAAGAAAACAAGAAATTTCAATTTCCTAAATTTTCAATGTTTTCATACTTTCTGTTTGCTCCAACGTTAATTTATCGTGATAATTATCCTAGGTTCGTATAAAAATTATTACTCGGAAAAGCCCAGGATTCATGAGACATTTAATTTTATTTCAAACATTGACCTTAAAAAAATATAAAACCTTCTTCTATATTTTTTCCAGAACGAAGGAAATCCGGTGGCGTTATGTGGCATCACATTTTTTCGAAGTAATTCTCGTAGTTTTTTACGTTGCCTTCATGTTCGAACGTTTTGTACTTCCAGTTTATAAAGAGTTTGGCCAAGAGCCATTCAATTTACGAGGATTTATATTAAATACTTTCTTCAACACTGCACTACCAGGAATTATCATATTCTTATGTGGATTTTACTGTCTACTGCATGCATGGATGAATGCATTTGCTGAATTGATGCGCTTTGGTGATAGAATTTTCTATAAGGTACAATATAATATACTTATTCAGAATAGTCTCTTTAATATATTATTTAAATAAACACCAACTTTGCAAAAGGATTCTTATTAAATTATCGCAAGAAATTTATACTAAAGTACTTAAGAAAGAAAAATCAATTACTGAATTTAAGCTCACGAAAGAGTCCAAACAATTACATTTGAAATTTCATGAATTATTACATGTTATAATAGTTGATATAATTCAATCAAATCATCATTTTATCCTTGAAAATTCTCGACTAATCTGTTTATTTCTAGGACTGGTGGAATTCTGGATCTTATGATACATTCTATCGTACGTGGAATGTAGTAGTTTACGATTGGCTTTATGCCTATATTTACAAAGACATCTATGAAATCGTCGTCCCTGGGAATAAATTCTTCGCATCGATATGTGTATTTTTCATCTCCGCTCTCTTTCATGAATATATTTTATCGTATGCTTTTGGATTCTTTTATCCAGTCATGTTTACAATGTTTGCTATCTTCGGTTATATTTTGATATATTTAAATCGAAATAATGCTAGTAGAATTGGTAATATTTTTATGTGGTATTCTTTATGTACTGGTTCAGGAATAATGATAAGCTTCTATGCCATGGAATATTTCGCACGAATTAATTGTCCGGGTCATGAGAATGAATTGATAGATATATTTGTGCCAAGAAGTTGGTTTTGTTATAAAGGATTCGATAATCGAACTTTAGTAAATAGTTTATAATTAAATTAAATTAAAAAATTCCGAAATTATATAATATTTTGTTAAAACAAAACATCAAGAAATAAGTTTAAATACAAAAGTTTATTTTTAAAACAAGTAAATATATTTATTAGCGAGCCTTTGATAAATATAATAGGTTGTATCCATTAACATAATACAACAGGATTATGCATATGTACATGCATACTCAAAGTGTATGCATACATATATACACATATTGTATACATACGCGTAAATCATTCAATCATTCCTCAATTTTCTATACAAATTGTTTTACTATTACATATAACTTTACATATTATATTATAGTATCAATAATTCACACGTGTATGATACTATTTTTACCTTTTTACAGCTATTGACACATAGCAGTTCAATTTGTCTTTTTTATTGGTGCCAATCTATTAGCTGCTAGTTAACTAGGCAATACTCAATATTTTTTATTCAATTATCAATGCTTCATTTTTTTTTGTACATACTCTAGCATTGGCAAGAATCCACGAGTCTTTTTTAATCAAATAAAATTATTCTTTCCTCTCTAGTTTTCTTCTAAATTGAGTTCATTAAAAATTACAACTTTGCCCACGTTATATATTGATGATTGTAAATCAAATTGGTCAGTAAAAATACTAAAGTAATAGGCAGTAAATTAATATAAATAAATAATTATATATATGTGTATACGTATGAAGAATCAATTATTGTCCGATTTAAATAGGAAGTACACTTTGTCCTAATTATGTAAACTTAATCCAAAAAATTTGTTCTTATAATGAACAACATGAGCAAATTAATAATTTTTTTGAGGGCAGAATTTCAAATGTTTTTTAATACACACACTCTAACAATTTTTATAACACTTTGATTGTGTGATAAATTTCTCTCAAGATAAAAACATAATTGTAAACGTAAATGATGAGTCATGGATTAGCCTTTTTCAAATTAGTCAATCATCATTTCAATCACTTACATTGTGAGAAATAATCATTTAAAAAAAAAAGAACAAATTCATTCTATAAAACATTATTAGTTTTTAAAATTTTGATTATTTCAGCAATAAATTATTGATAATTCAAAATATTTATTGCAAGTTTTTTTCATATTTCTTTACAATAATTCACTAATAAAAAAAAAAATTGTCAAATATTTGTGTTTTACAACAGTATATTCAAAACTTAATTTTTTTTCTCACTTCATTGAATAACCATTTTAATTATTAAATTGATTTAAAAATATCTGGCTATTGCCTGCGTCCTTGGTACTTGATTAAATAACCAGTAACGCAGTGCAAGTAGTCTTCATTTTCCTAAACCAACGAGAGCTTCATCCATAAGTTCATCATCAGTTATACAAGGTGAAGTTGTAGAGTGTGGAGATGGTGGAATAACTCTCGGAGAAGGTGCTGGACTTTTAACAATATGAAGACTCAAAGATGGACTCGGTGGAAACGCAGGTGGTGGCGGTGGTGGTGGAGGAGTATTTCTTCTAACTGGAACAGACTGTAAATTCATAGTCCTTTCTGGAACCGTTGAAAGAGACATTTTGCCAATATCTTTTGGTGTGGAAAAATCTAACAACATTTCATTGACTTCGAGTGACTCCCCTGGAATTGGTGTAGTTGATTTATTCACAGATGACACATCAATTGATGAAGAGCTCGACGATGCTGTCATAGGTGGTGTTGAAGATTGAATTGATGATCTATCTAGAGATTTTCGTTCCTCCAGAGATTTATTATACTTATTCAAAGCTGCATCTGCTGGCTTAGTACTCAAATTTAAGCTTTCGGAACTCACATTATCTCCTAAAGTACTTCCAGTAGTATTCGATGAAGTTGAAGAGGAATAAGTTGAAGCCGTTTTAGAAGATCCTAAAGTATCAGTAGATGATGTAGTATCAACGTTAATATGACTCAATATGTTAGCATTGTCTTCATTACTCCCTGAAGAACTTGATGAGCTCATTGAAGACATATTTTTGAGGTACTGTGAAGCCGATGACCTCGGAGTTATTGACAAATCTTTACATACGTCTCTTATTTCAGCATCTGGTTGCATTGATAAATTTGTCGGCACATCAGAATCATGAGAAGCGGCAGGTACAATTGATGATGAAGAAGATGGTGGTTGTAAGATCATAGATGGGTCGAGAGTGCTACTGAGATTCAACATTGGCATAGGATTTGTAGACAAATTATCTGACTTGGTTTGATTGATGTCTCTTCGATTTGACATTGAACTTTGATCCATGATGTCAGTGGATTTAACATTACTCGAAAGCGATGTGTTAGGTAATGATTGTATCTTCGCTTGATCAATTTTATTCGATGATAAAGTGTCTAATAATTTACTACTACTATGATCTATTGATGTACTCGATGAAAGCTTTTCACCAAACTTTTTCTCGGCAGCTTCAGCATTTACTCTAGCGGATAATTTTGGTATTTGAAATTTTGAATCAAATATTGACATAGATGTATGTGCAGCAAGAATTTTGAAAGCTCTTTCACTCTCACTTTCTTCACGTAGTGGTGAAGGACTAGCTTTTCGTGAATCTGTTGATTTAGAACTGAAGAGATTCCCACTTTTATCAACTGATTTTTGCAATCTTGGTTTGTCTCGATTTCTACTTAAATCTGTCGCACCAGAACTTGACATCTTTGGCGATCCACTTGATGCTTTAGTTGTACTTTTCGCTAGTAATCCACCACTAGAAGAACTTGAAGTTGACTTGAGATTTGAAACTTTTTGCCCTGCCATACTCAATTTATTCCCAACAGCAGACGTTAATCCGCCTTGTTGACTGGAAGTTTTAACAGATTGAGATTGCGGTTTCTTGGAAGCTGGACCCGAATTGACTCCCGGTTTTAATCCAGTGTGAGTTTTTGGTGAACCGTTTCCCGAATTTGATACTGACGAGCTCATTGATCCACTTACATTTCCAGTACTTGAAGAAAGTTTAACATTACTTCCAGCTTTTGAATCTTTAGCTCTAGTCTTATTGATGGTAATTTTCATTCCATCTAAACTATGTTTTACCATATACTCTGCTGGATTTTTAGTATCAAGAGCGGGGCTATTTTTTCCCATACTTTTTCCTTCACTTGTTTTATTTGAAGATGTTGTAGGTCTTTCTTTTTGGCCAGATTCACCACTGGAAGAATTTCCGCCAGACTTTGAAGAACTTCCACCATTCCCTGGATCATCCGAGACATGTTGAGCATTTTTTAACTTGTCTATTACAGCACTTAGAGAACCTTTACGATTCCTCGCTTGCTGCTGTTGAGCTGTGGATGATTTACTGAGATCTGAACTTCCAGAGGGTGGTGTGTTGCCACCACTGCCAGACATAGAAGTTGGCGGTGGTTCTCCTGCATTTGGCAAGAGTTCAATAGATTTTAATTTACTGCTTGATGATTTTGTTTTAGGACTTTGATGTCCAGAACTACCACTATTAAAAGATAACCCTGATGTTGATGAAGACGAAGTTGAAGATGATGGAATCTTTCTTTCTTTATCTCTACTTGTTTCTTTACTAGACGAAGACTTGGGTTTGGAAGACGAACTAGAAGATTCACTACTACTTTTTCCACAAGCTGACGGTGAATTATTAGCAGCTGATTTTAACGCAGACATACTGGGCTTGCCAGTACTAGTTGTACTTCCATGCTTCGGTGAGCAGGTCCCATGTTTTGGGCTAACGCTAGCGGGAATTCCTGACGATGAATGCTTAGGGCTGTTATAAACTGGCGAGTGTTTAGGACTTGGCATGGATTTACTCGATGTTGAAGAAGTTGAAGCCGATGTACCAGTATTAGAAGCGGATGCAGGTTGTCTCAGTGTCGGAGAAGACTTACCAAGTAGAGCTAAAGGGCTTGTATGAGTCGGAGATGGATTTAATTTTCTAAGTGTTGTCGCAGGGGACGATGGACGTGATCCAATATTTGGTTGAGGTTCAGTAGGTTTAATACTAACGGAAACCGGCTTAGACAGTGGATCTTGTGGTTGTTTTGGAGGAAGTTTTTCTGGTGGTCCCATTGGACTGTCTTCCCGTTTACGTTTCCTTTTTTTCTCCAGTCTTGATTTATCATCACTCGTTTTATTCTTTCTATCTCTTCTTTCGTCTGACGTAACAGGTTTAATTGTAGCTCCAGTGATAGGTGTTATTGTAATAGAACTCGGCAGATTTGTTTGTGGTGATGAAGAAATTGGAATTATTTCAATCCCCGGTCTTCGATCTAATCCCATTCCTGTCAGCACAGAATTATAATTGGTCGTTTGCCCTATTCCACCACTAGAAATTGGAGTGATACTAACGGAAGGTGGTACTAAATTACTTTTATTATCTTCAAAAACACTTGGACTTTTCTTTTCTTCACGACTCTTTCTTGATTTTCGATCTCTTTTCATTATTTCTCCATAGTCGTCAGGCAAATCATGAACTTCCATCACTTCTGATTCATTTTCTACATCATAATCAGTTGAACTCCGAGTATCACCTCCGACAATGTCACTAGCATCAAGATTAGACAAATCTAGACCACTAACTAAACTAACTGCAGCTGAAGTTGGTGTCGGTGTTCGAGTTCCATTGGCATTATCTCTCGATGTTGGTGTACCAAGCGGAGTAGAATCAGAACTGGAACTTTCTAATAAAATTTCACCAGAATCATCACTTTTATTTTTAGGACTTCTCCAAAGACCATCTGCAGTTTTTCTTTTACGTGTCTTTTTTGAACGATCACTTGTAGGTGTCGTAGAACCTAAGCCTCCTACTGGAGAGCTTTTACCTTGACTAAGTAGTGCACCAAGTTGCAAGGGATTTAACATAGCAGCAGATGTATCGGATTGGCCGGAAAAGGACGGGAACCCGATACTATTCTCCGTTCCGGCATCTAAAAAAGACTGCTGCTGATGTGAGGGTGTTGATTGTCTGCTTATACTATTATTGTTGTTACCATTTAGTCCTGGCTCATGTTTAATCTTCGGTTCACCATTAGTAAAGTCTGGTATGCAAGTAGGTCCATCATGACCATTTTGCTCGCGTCCAGAACCAAGATTTACCCCATAATTGCCACCATTAGTAGCTCCACTACCAGTTCCTCCACTAGATATTCCATTAATTTGTATTGAATTTCGACCTTCCCAAATTTTAATTAACGCTCTCATCGTTACTGGTATGCTAAGGCACCTTTGAAGAACTTTACTAACAATTTCCGACGTTTGCTCGGTATTTGTCATGCTAACGCCGTAAAGTTTACACTTGAGCGCGGAAATGTCTGTCAAATCCAATTCAGCAGTTGCTAATGTTTCTTCAAAAGGATGTTCAAGACTCACGGACACATGTTGCCACGATAATGCACTCACTTCGAATATTGTTGTCTGCTCAACTTCTTGACGAGCCATTGACCGCACGCAGCTCATCACCAGAGTATTAAACAGAGCTTGTTGACGTAGACATCCAAGAATTTGTGGTACGTGAGCTGGATGCGTGAAAGGAATACTTCCAACAAGTACACCTTCCATACTTTTATTCTCCGTCATAAAGTAGCAATGCTGTTGATCAGGTAAAGTTACATATAATCCTCTATTGTTCCGGCAATCTAATTGTCCTCCACTTGCATGTTGAACAATCAAACTTAAAATAGGCTGAGGTGCAGACACATCGACACACTCCATTTCTGTTACTTTTTGTATTCTGTGAACTAATTCGAGACACATGGGCATCTTCTTAGCAAGCTTTAGAACAAAACAAGCTGGCAACATTGAAGAATTAGCACCGGTGAGAGGTGCATATGATGGTGTATTTTTTCCAGTAGGACTTCGATTCACTGTGATAATACTTGAAGTTGGAAGTTTGTGAGCGGTAGATCCTTCCAAACAAACTGTTACAGAATGACCAATTTTACGAGTAATGATAGTTTCTGGACTTAACTGTTCTATTATTCGATTATCTTGATCAATCAGGTCATACGGAGATACAAAGTAAGTTAATTTCATAGGGTGACCGCCTTTCCGTCTTTCTAATATTCCTACAGGACTTTTGTGAACAAGATTAAATGACTCTTTCATAAATGTTTGTAACTGAGCCAAAACACCTAAATCAGCTTCTAGCGATTGTAGAGCACAGAATGCTTTACACTTCACTTTTTTGTCTGCATTTAACTGATATATTGATGCTAAGCCTTCGAGTTGTGCTGTAAAGTCTACAAAGTCCCCTCTTGAAAGACAAGCAACTAATTCTTCACAGCTCTGCAAAAATATTAATGATAAAGGCATAAGCATAGAATAAAACTAGGGTCCAAGTAACTATTTATAACTAATACATTCAAATAATCTACCTGTTGTTCATTTTTTCCTTCGTGATGAATTTTCACATCTTTAACTACACCAGTTGGTTCAAGAAGAACTTCTAAGAAAAACATATCAGATGATATAAAAAGTTCTGTTCCGGATGGTGCAGACATAAATTTCAAGCTACAATTAGATGAAGAGTATTAATATTGTATCATTCTATTTCCTCACTAATGAAGAAAGGTATTTGTTAAATTGAAGAAACTTACCCTAGTTGTCTTGAAAGACTTTCTAACCTTTCAACCATAGATTGCAAAGAAGTAACTTTAATAGAATGTTGTAAGGTATCTAAACATTTTTGAAGTTGACTTTTTTCAACACTGTCTATAGCAAATCTTTTATCCTAAAAACGATAGATAATCAATAATACTGTTTAAATAATAAAAAAAAATATATTTTACAATTAAATTACCAGCATTGCCATTCTGAGATTCTTGGCAGTTTCCATTAAACTCTTAAATGCTGATGCTTTAGATCTTAATTTTTCCATGAGCAGCTCCATTTGCCACTCTTTATTTTTATCATTGCCAGTGCCACCTCCAGTGGATTGCCCACCTATGTGATAGTTATAGAAAATGAGATAATGAAAATTTTACAGTAATTAGTGACCATTAACCAAGTTAGCTTGCAAAAAAATGAACTTATTAAAAATGAACTTACCGAGGGGCTTCTGGCTGTTGTTTGTATCCATGTATTGGAAATTAAGTTATACGGATATTTAAATCCTAAACCAATGAATCTTTATTAACTAATAACATTAAAATTTCCTACATCGTGACATCTGCTACGATTGCTTGTCTTCGTGCTACTCGCACTGACTCTCTAACCTTTGCCCATAACGAATGAGTAGTCGATGCGTTTGTACACTCAACAAACCAACAAACCTTTGTAAATTTACACATATATAACTTGAACGGTACATATATGAATAAATTTATTATTTCACATTAAAAATATATATTACTTGTTATAATAAATATGTAGATAATTGTACTATAAAAGAATGCATATTTTGCATCAAATAACTTTCACGAAATAATGCGTCGCGCGAATGACGTTCACTCAGGTAGAAGAATTTTTCGCTACTGCCATCTATGATGATTCAGAGAGAATACTAGGACAGAAAGATGTTTTCTCTCTGCCAATTCGCAGATGGCGCTTCTAGATCATTTCGGCCGAATTCGTCAACCAACAGTTGGTAATCAATATGTCGAGTAAAATTGTCAGTAAAAAGTAAGTGTGGCTAACAAGCCGAATAAAAGCTGTATGAATACAATAAAATATAAATTAATTAATGAATAATGAATTCACCACCTGAGCTTACCACAGTTTATCAAGCTGTTTATTCATTATATCGCAATTCGGATCCAACGGAAAATAAAAAAGCTGCATCATGGCTCGACGAACTTCAAAAATCTGTAAGCATCAACAGCTTTTATATTTTATAACTTCTTTAGAATATTATTCAAAAATCTTTTGTATTTTATTAATTTTCGACAGTCATAATATTACCTTAACTTAACATCGTATTGTAATTTTTATAAAAAAATTTTTTTATTATTCTAAGTATAAACAAAATATCAATTTTGGAAGTTAACCTCTTTATAATGTGTAAGCAGTTATTGTTTTGTCTCTCATTTATTTGAGACGTTTTGATGAAAATTTTTAATTTTTCTAGATTTACGCTTGGAAGATATCAGACGAAATGTTACAAGAAAAAAGAGACCCAGAATCTTGTTATTTTGCAGCACAAACAATGCGAACGAAAATTCAATATTATTTTCATGAACTACCGGCTGAATCCCACATCTCATTACGGGATTCGTTATTAAACCACATATCCCAAATAAATGAGCATACAAATAGTGTAATCGTTACTCAGGTAAAGCTCACAATAATTAAAAAAAATAATTAAAGTTGTGTAAACATTGAATAAGGAATTATTTGTTTTTCAGTTATGTTTAGCATTAGCAGATTTAGCTCTTCAAATGTCTTCTTGGGAAAAGCCAGTAACGGATTTGTTGAACAGATTCGGTCGAAATGCTAATAGTTTGTGGCCACTACTTGAGATTATGAAGGTTCTTCCAGAGGAAACGAATTCTTTAAGATTAGGAGCAAATAGAAGAGAAAGTATTCTTGCAAGTTTAAGTTCATGTGCTGATAAAATAGGAGATTTTTTAGAAGTTTGTTTGAAGACTAATGAAGAGAACATACAAATTCATACCCGAGTTATTAGTTGTTTAACTAGCTGGATTACAATACGTGCAACTCCATTGACAACAATTATTTATAGTAATGTTGTATCATATACTTTTCGAGTGTTGGGAAATCATATGAGTAACTCACAATTACATGAAGCTGCTACGGATTGTGTATGTGCGATACTACAAACATTAGAACTTGCAAGTAATGTCGATGCCTGTGATTCTGTGCTTGTGCCACACTTTGAACCACGTCTTATCACTAGTATTATGATGCTAGAACAACCTTACCATCTTTCTGTAGCACATGAACAAACTGATCAGTCGACGAATTACTGCCGAATTTTTACTGAAGCAGCAGAGACATTTTTACTGACAATAGTTTCAGGCAGCATGGGAAATAAACGGCATTATGCAATAAAAATTTTAGATCTAGTGCTTATGTGTGTTGGACATCATGATTATGAAGTAGCTCAAATAACTTTTAATTTCTGGTATCAATTATCTGAAGAATTGTATCAAAAGAATAATGAAGAACTGAATAATACTTTTAAACCATATATTGAACGATTGATTGGAGCTTTGTGCAAACATTGTCAAATAGAACCAGATCACCTTGGACTTTTAGAAGATGATAGTGTAGCTGAAGATTTTGTGCTTTTCCGCAACCGAGTGTCTGAATTGATAAAAGACGTAGTTTTCATAGTTGGTAGTAGTCATTGTTTTCGACAAATGTTTACGAGATTAAATGGAGATCCTGGACCAGATGGTCAACCAATCAGACCAGCGACGTGGGATTCTGTAGAAGCATCACTTTATATAATGCAAGCAGTAGCTAAAAATATTTTGCCTAAGGAAGATAAAGTTGTACCTGAAGTCGTGGAAGCTATTTTGAATCAATCAGAAAATACTCATATAGCAGTTAAACACACAAGTATTATATTACTTGGAGAATTGTGTGAATGGATTAATAATCATCCACAATCATTGGAGCCAGTGTTAAACTTTTTATTAACTTGCCTTAATCAAAAAGGTCTAGCAAGTGCTGCTTCTGGAGCTTTACATAGTATCTGTACTGCTTGTCCAGAACAAATGGCCTTTCATTTTCCAGGGTTGTTACAAATTGCACGATGTCTTGATAACTTTCCAATTACTAATGAAGCCGCTATTGGTTTGCTGAAAGGTATATCTATAATTATGGTAAGATTACCATTTGCTGAGATCACGAATGCGATGAAAGAACTCTGTTGGTTCCAAGCAAAGCCTCTTTGCGACCTAATAGAAGCTACCGTAGCTCCAATAAATAGGGGAACAAAAAATGATCCTATTGTTTGGCTTGATAGATTAGCTGCTATTTTTAGATATACAAATCCTCGAATAGAAGATACAAATTTGCCGCATCCCTGCCAAGCTGTTGTTACAGAAATGTGGCCGATATTATCGAATACTTGTACAAGATATCAAGCAGATGCCAAAATCATGGAACGTTGTTGTCGATGTATACGACATGCTGTTCGTTGTATTGGTCAACATGCGGTACATCTATTAGAGCCGATGGTCAAACAAATCGTCCAGCTTTATGCAGCTCATCAACATAGTTGCTTTCTATATCTTGGTTCCGTTATGGTTGATGAATATGCTGCTGACCATGACTGTGCGGCTGGTTTAGTTCAAATGCTAGAAGCTTTTATTGGACCCACATTTACACTACTCCAGCAGCCAGATGGATTAAAAAACCATCCAGATACAGTTGATGATCTCTTTAGGCTATGCTCAAGGTATTTACATGATACATTATCATCAATTAAATTATTTCAAATCTTTATCTAGGTAACTAATTAATTATTATTTTTGTTATTTTAGATTTCTTCAAAGAGCACCAATTGCATTTTTACACTCACCAGCACGAATCAGTATCATTGATTGTGCTTTGAGTGCTTGTAGCTTAAATCATAAAGATGCCAATGCTTCAGTCATGAAATTCTTCTTCGAAATGCTTCGCTGTGGAAGAAATTACGATGTAATTTATGTGCTTAATACTCTTTAATATTTTTTTCAACATGACTGTGAAACCTCTCTAAATAGCTGAATTCATTACAGGAACGGTCAGATTTTACGATTCGGCGACAGTTGGTTCAAAGTGTGCTGAGAGAAAAAGGTCAAACATTAGTTACAAATCTTCTTCATGCTGCTGTATTTTCTTTGTCAATTTATATGCTACAAGATGTTGCAGATGTTTTTATTGAATTAACGTTAACAGATAGCACGGTAAGATATTTAAAGTCACTCCATAAAAAATAGATTTTTTGAACAAATTTATAACTTATAAACTTTTTCTTCCAGTTAACGGCAAAGTGGTTGGAAGAAGCTATTAGATCCATGCCAACTCAAAATGCAGGCGGATCTCCAACAGCAACTCCAGAGCAACTTTTGGAATTCCATAGTACAATTTTACGGTATTTATTTATGCTTTTTTTTAGAACGTTAAACACGTGATTTATGTATCTTGAAAGGAATGTAATGCTTGGAATTTTTTTATTACTTACAGAATGACAGACTCGCCGAAAACTGTGATGCATGCCGTGCGAACATTTGCAAGGCTATTTCGTTAATGCTGTCTCCATTAAGAATTGAAAGGACAATGAATGACAAATCAGGAATTTAAGATCTTCATTTATTCGCCATAATAATTGACCAATTAATTGGGTAATCAATACCTTTTTTACTTTATACCAGTTTTTTACGCTTAGAAATCGTTCTAACGACATTTCTCATATTTTTAAAGTTGAAACAATCAAAATCCATGGCTTTTTTTGCTGTAATTTTTTTTTAAGTGCAATTCCGAGTCCACGATTTTTGGAAGAACTTTCCAAAATTTTTTAGTAAGTCGTTAAAACGATTGACGTATTGAAAAAATTAATAAGTCCTTCATTACGATTCATTTTGAATTTTAATAATCATTGAACGGTTGTATAATTTTAATAAATTTTTTAAATTATGCATATTTATTTACTTCTCGTATCTAGTAATTGTTAGATACGTTCATAAAAATTAAAAATTATGTAGGCATTTTTCTTTTTAACTTTGATTATTTGAAGTGATTAAACAGAGAACATAACATGTATTATATAAATAAACAATGATTACGATTGAATGTCTATGTATATTATTAAAGTAAGTGTGCAAAGAAATGTTCATAAGAAATTGTATCAATAAGGTGGTGATTGGCATGTGCCTATTTACAAAGTATTGTAGGTAATCGGACAATGCATTTGATTATAAAACCATTTCATAATTAATCATTTTGTAATTAATAACATTCAACATTCGTACATTGAATTATAGGAAATAAATGGATATATGATTTTTTCACTAAAAATAGTTTTTTCACGCACTACAAATTATTATTATTATTATCCTCCATTCATATTCATTATTTTCATTTGTAACTACTCTTTATTGAAATAATAAATCTTGTTTTAATTTCGCTAATAAGTAATGTTATTAAAGAAACTACTAGAAATCATGCAAAAGAAACTTTCCAACTATTCCAAGTCGTAGAATATATGACTGCAGTATATCATTTTCCAATAAAGTGGAAGTATCTATTGTTTGTAAAGACAATATAAAATTCTATTAGACCGGATCTGGATTAATATAATCAAATAACTCTAAGCCAAAATACAAAAATGAGATCTTCCTGTTGTTTAGTATTATTAAATAGAATCCTCTATGATAACACGGCTTGCCAAAACCATGACCTATAAAATAAACTTATTATTTTTTACCATTAGTTTTCAAATGTAATAGTTGTAAATTTAATTAAATTTTATGTTTTTTTTTTCAAAAAACTGAAAAATGTTTTAGCAAGATATATATTGAGTACGTCTTGCAGATTATAGTACAAGTAATTTATCAATTCGTCTATAGAAAATTTCTGATATATTTGTTGACTGTGGTTATGAACAGTTAAAGTGGATATAAGTACTTTACTTTCACAGTATATTGCTCAGTAAATAATATATAATATTTCAATGATAAAAAAGTACAAATGGTAGCAAAAAATTTGCACTTATAGATATTTATCAGCATTTATAAAAAGTTATAGCTCAATAATAATAATAGTTCTATACCAAAAATGAAACCGTACGTTTGTGCAATTTAGTACTCATTAGAAGCAATAGGAGTTGTGGAGTAATGAAGTGAAATATTAAGTTACAAGTATAGGTGATTGGCAGACATTCGAGAAACTCAAGCCAATTAATTTCAGTCTTAGATTTCGAAAAGAAGTTATCCCAGGAAATCGTTGGCGATCTTTTACCTTGAGTCATCATTGCAATGAGTCATTCTTGTCGTCTAAACCCACCAAGTAGTCTTGGCTGCAACGATCAAAAGAAAGGAGAGAAAGGAATAGAATTTAACAAAGGAATTTCATTGTACCTAAGTTCGAAAGGTATATCCGAGTTAATTTATGCATAAATGAGAGTTACCATTAAAATTTTTAAATTTACATTATTTATCTATTTTTCATAGTCAGGGACAGGGAGGAGTGATGGTGGCTATGGTACCCATAGCGTGAATTTGAAAATACTTATTTGAAATATGATTGAATAATGACAGCTACAATGTATGACAACCCACTGATGAAGCAACATAATATGATGGGTATTTGATGGGCGGGCGGTCGTGGAGTTTAACCATGAGTGCATGCTTTGAAGTTAAAGGGACACGCAGAGGGATAGCAAGAATAGAGTCAACATGCATAAAAATAACCAGCAGATAGTCAGAAGACTATCCCAACCGGAAATCATTTATACCAAGGCTCTCATTAGAAACTTATTGATCCATGATTACAATCAAATAATCCCAAGGTGTATTGGACGTAACTATTTTTTTACAGATCGAAATTCACTCCAAGCCTTTTCTGCACCCTCTCAACGGTAGCCAATAGCGCGTTGCCGAGCAACCAGACAGCCAGACTGCTGTCTGCCAATTCGTCCAGCTCCAAGGTGGGGGATGGAGTGCTAGACTCTAAGGGCACAGTCAATGCGTCTTGGCACTCTAAGAAAATGTCTTGGAATACCAGGATATATTAAATATTCAAAGATTCAAGTATCTTTACTTCGTCCAGACGATACGCTCAGAAGGGGGAAGTCATGCCTGTACCATTATCTTTGCCTTTCACGGATCCTCCCTCATCCTTTGCTTATAACATCACTTTTAATTTATCTACACAGCCATTTCTATCATCTTACTGCCAAAGATGCCTTTTTTTTTTTGAGAGGCCCCACTACTTGATGGCCTGCTACAACTGATGACCCTAGTGATGATCGATACGGAAAATCCCAGAGGATGACATCATCCATGTGCTCCTAAGGTCCTTGATGATTTACGAAGCTAATAGATAGTAGATATGAAGAGAATTATGTTGAATGACAAAGATAAGTGTTAAAGCAGTTAAAAGCTTCTCACGAAAATGAAAGCAGTAGTCTGCTGCTGTTGTTGGTTGAAAGACGTCAAGACGAGGTCAGTTACCATTCCCAGCATTAAATCGTTACGCAGTGCCGCATTGCACAGTTACGTCTGTTATTTTTTTTAATTTTTCCGCATTATCGACCACCACTGAGGCTAAAGATTCGTTCGGAATACTGAATTCGACTTGTTCAGACTTGTCTACTACTTCGCTTTGTATAGAGATTGGAGAAATACAAAAGGAACAATTTAAAATATTAGTTCTCGAGACCTAAATACTGAGTCTGAACATTCATCATGCTCTTTTCTTTAAGATAAAAAAAAGCAAAAGTTTATTTAATCCTGAAAGCTCTTACAGATTTCTTTTTGGCAAATATATATTTCAATTTTGATTGATAGAAAGAAAATATTTAGTCTTTGTGAACTTTTAATTTTATCTAAAGTAAACAGAAATACATCACTCATTTTTTTAGAAGCTCTCATTTTTTTTTCCTGAAAGATAAAAAAATTTGCGTCCAAAAAATTTGCCACGCAGCTGGCTCTCTTGAGTGAACAGCACACATAATCGTTGTCAAAGAAACTCGTCCTTGAACTACATAGACGTATTTTTGCTTTACGAAGCAAAGCCTGCTTGAACGATCGAATCAATTTGAGTCTGGAGAGCTCAAAGAGTGGATATAAAAGTAAAGGTAACGACGGTTTTATGTATTCAGTATTTAAATTTAATTTACAAAAAGGATTTCAGCTGAAATGTTTCTTCAAGATTAACTGGAGTTGGTTGAGGATTATGGATGATAACAAAGGATTTCAATTAAGGATGATGGAAGCTTAACGAATTTGCTAATTTTTGGCAATTGGGGAGAACCACTGCGACAATGACTCAAACGGTCATCTTGGTGCCTGTTCAAGGTCGTCCACATCCTGACGACGAGTGCGGTCAGATTGTCCAAACGAAGCAATCATTGTGTGGGCTGAGGACCCTCTCACAGCTCCTTCAGACTTTGTACAAATCTCAAGAATTTTGCTTGGTCCTACAAATTAAATTCTACACCATCGAAATTCGTTAGTAATTCAACAATGGCATTTGTTTGAATGAATAGGTAATAATTATGTCTTTATTATTGAAGAAAAAAACGGAATGTTCCAAAGCTTCTGATTCAAGTTATGATTCCGTTATCAAATGTATGACAATAGTTTATTTTCAATTTAAGGATCCAAGAATCGAATGTTTACCACTAAGTAATCATCAATTTAATCATGCTGATGAATAACAGTGGATAATATTGGTTTTGTTTGATAATAATTAATTGAGTTAATGAAGATTATGATGCATGATATATTATTCTAGAATAACAGTCACCTGGAAAGTTTACTAACAGGAAATCTATATTAACCTATAAATTGATATAATGGAATATATAAATGAAATTCATTTTTAACACAATCATAATCATTCTTAATGTCTAATTATGTATGTTGGTAAATGAAACTTTTATACAGTATAATTATTTTAATGATCCATTCAGGTGGAGTTATACTTGAAGTCGTCATTTGATGGGGAAAGAAATGACTGTCACAATCAACTCTAAGGTAAATTGTAATTAATTCATTTAAAACTGCAGATGATTGATTATCACATTAGTGCGAATATGATGCGAAATCTAACAGAAAGAGGAGATAAAGGTAAAGCTAATGCCCAATTAAATATTCAATTAAGCGTAATAATAATGAACGATTTACATATCATAATCAAGAGAAAATTAGCGTTATTTTTTAAAATTGTTTATTTTCTTATTTTTATCGGTACATAGTAATTTAACTAAAAATAGACTTGTTATCCTTCAAAATTCATGTAATGAAGAAGTATTTAAATTCAATTCACGGGTTGGGTTGCGTGACGTTGAAAAAAAGGTCTTCCATGACTGTCAAGCAAAAGTATGTTTTCAGTATGGGTTTATTTCACGTATTTAACGTCCCATTCATAACGATGTCGCGACATTATGTATAATCGCGCATGCGATTGTGGGTTGAGACGTGGAAACAACGTGAACGTGAATATTATTTCTATAATGAGGTATACAACGTGGCTTTCTGGATTACAATTGAAAAATAAAGACAATGTAATAGAAAGTGTAAGGATAAAGAAAAAGGTATATGTGTATATAAGTCGGGTACCCAGAATGAATAGTCTCGTCCCTGCAGACATTAAAACACACCCCGCCCTTCTGCAAGTTCCTCACTTGTTCCTTCTGTTCTTTGGCCCTTGGGGTACGTTATTGGCACCGGTTGATATAGTCAATGTGAGAGATTCGCAACGGATATATCCGAACGTGCCTGTTTTATGCCACCGTACCTCCAGAATTAGGATCAAGGGCCAAAGGGTTGAGAGCTTCCAAAGTAAAACGTTTTCCTCACTACCGGGTAAACCCTCGACACCCCTCACAAGTACCTGAAGGATCCTTGTCGAGAAAAAGCGCTCTTTCCTGCTTTTTCCTCTCTCCTCAGGCAGTCTTTTTAAACGCCCTCATCCCGAAGAGCTGAATGTTTTGAATCGGCAATTAAGTAATAACTAATTAGTCTTGTGAGGGTGCAAATGGGGATGAGGGTTATTCGGTCGCAGGGTGTTCTTCAACACTGAGAAAATTCACGTCTCGCCCTTGTACACATTTGTCTGGGTGAAGGATCCGTCTTCCTCGACTCGGCTTACTCTCTCTTCTGCTCCCTCCTGTCTTCAATCCCCATAGACCCATGCCGCAGACTCTACTCGTCGTGTCTCAGACTTGCTATCCCTCCCGACCCCACTATGTCTGGCTGCCTCTTCTCCCATATAATACATTTTACCCCGTCTCACCTCCTTCTCCTCATCTACTCCTCGTCTTCGTCGCCTTCTTCTCATCGCCCCACGTCACCTATCTCCTATCCCTC